ATCAGAACTTGTCTTTCGGAGGTGCGCGATACATTGGTACGGGCCGTGGTTTCGCAACTGCCCGTATCCCATTCGGTGTCCTCTACTCGCGATTTGCCGGTCCCTCAATTTACTTGGGTGCTCGACTCCTGCTGATGTTGTTGTTCAGTACTACAACTGTCTGGACTCCCGCTCTGATCTGGTTCTGGGTTTCTTTACTCGCCCTCTCCATCTCGCCTTTCTTGTTCAACCCGCACCAGTTTGCATGGAACGATTTCTTTATTGATTACCGCGACTACATCCGCTGGCTTTCTCGCGGTAACTCCCGATCCCATGCTTCCTCCTGGATCGGCTTCTGTCGCCTTTCGCGTACTCGCATCACTGGTTACAAGCGCAAAGTTCTCGGAGTTCCATCGGAGAAAGGCTCCGGTGATATTCCCAGAGCGCGCATCACCAACATCTTCTTCAGCGAAATCATCTCGCCTCTCCTGGGTGTTGGTGCCACACTGATCCCGTATCTCTACATCAATTCCCGGACAATGTACTCCGATGATGTCAAGTGGGCTGCGAATCCCATCCTTCGCGTTGCGATTGTCGCTTTCGCTCCTGTCGGTGTTAACGCCGGTGTGGCAGGCATGTTCTTCGGCATGGCTTGCTGCATGGGCCCGGTGTTTGGCATGTGTTGCAAGAAGTTCGGTGCCGTTCTCGCAGCTATCGCCCATGCCATCGCCGTGATTGTGTTTTTGCTCCTCTTCCTGGCCATGTTCTTCCTTGAATCCCTCAGCTGGCCCCGAACCATCTCTGGAATGATCGCTGCGATGGCTCTCCAGCGCTTCATCTACAAGGTTATCATTTCGCTCGCATTGACTCGCGAATTCAAGAACGATCAATCTAATATTGCATGGTGGACTGGAAAATGGTACAACATGGGTTGGCACTCACTTTCTCAGCCTGGACGTGAATTCCTGTGCAAAATCACTGAACTCGGTTATTTCGCCAACGATTTCTTCCTCGGCCATATTCTCTTGTTTGCCATGCTCCCGGCCCTCGCCATCCCATATGTTGACACCTTCCATTCGGTGATCCTGTTTTGGCTGCGCCCAAGGTAAGTACCTTTTCCCTTTGGTATTCAAATAACCCAATACTAACCTGTCCTGCTTCTAGCTCTCAAATTCGCCCTCCTATCTACTCTCTCAAGCAGTCCAAGCTTCGCAAGAGACGCGTTGTCCGCTTCGCCATTCTCTACTTTGTCATGCTCCTCATCTTTGTCGTCATTATCGCTGCGCCTGTCGTCCTGCGCAACACCGGCCAGTTGAATAGCGTTCTGTCGGGCTCACTCTGGGAACAACTCGGTGTCAGCAAACCAGACTCAACTGGCCTACTCCAGCCACTTGATCACGGACTCAATGATACTGTCTCGTGGTACACCGGCTCTAACATCCCCAAGGGCTACACCTCAGGCAGCATCCCGGCACCCTCAGCGGGCACTGGTAAGTGGTCCATCTAATGTGGCGAAACGACACGGGAATGCTTTGTACAAAGTTATGCGTTTATTAAAATTCGCTGCATCTTTCTGAACTCATCGGCGCACAATTTGATCTTAATGAATGGTTGCTTCCAAATATTGTTTGTGGCATGACGCTTGTATGAAGGGGTCTTCGAAGTCATCCTCGGGGGTTTACCTTCCTTTTTCCAGCTTTCTTTGCTTGTTTTATTTACACTTCTACCGGAATTAAATTGCATTGCTTTCGTGAAATTCTCCTATAGCTCAAGTCTTAGTCCCTAATTTTAAAATTACATTGTCCCAAGCGAATGGAATTGTACAGGTCACGTGGCACGGAGATACCCAGGACTCCGAGCCTCCCGTTTCATCCTCACCCCCATCTTCCGCCAGTAAGCACCTGTTTATCGCGCCTCCTTTTAACCTATTGCATTCCGGGTATCTCGCTGGCCTGGTGCACCACACCAATCGCGCTCTTTTTAACCTCCGCCATGGATCTCCAGGAGACCCAGCGTATTCTTACTGAATATCTGCATGAACTCACGGATCTATTCCACCGTGTGCCTGGCTCCGCAATCTTCCTCCGCTACGTCAAGTCAAGCTATCAAGATGACCCAATTCGCTCTGCTGTCGAACTATTCCTCTTCCTTTTTGCTGTGCGATATCTTCTAGCGCCCAAGTATTCGACCAAACCGGGCGTTGTGCCACTCACAGAAGATGAGATTGACGATCTCGTGGATGAATGGACACCTGAACCCCTCGTCGGGAACGCGACACCCTTGGAAGAGATGGAGGTTGATAAGCGAACCGTGATTGTTGGGTATCGTACCCCTTTGTTCCTATTGCTTCTGCCTGGCGCACCTTGTGGACAATTTACTGACAGATGAAATTGGGATCTTCAGCCCCGTAGGCCCGAAATCCAAACTGGCCAACGGCCGTACCGTTATGAATCTCGGCTCCTTAAATTTTTACAACTTCAATACGAATGAGTCCCTCAAGGAACAGGCAATCCAAACACTCCGCGCTTACGGAATCGGTCCCTGTGGACCTCGTGGTTTCTACGGCACCCAGGATGTTCACATGAAGACAGAAGATGATGTGGCGGCTTTCCTGGGAACAACAGCTTGCATCATCTACTCCCAGGCCTTCTCGACCATTTCCAGTGTCATTCCTGCCTTCTCGAAGCGTGGAGACATTATCGTCGCGGATAAGGGGGTTAGCTTTGCGATTCGCAAGGGTATTCAGATCTCTCGAAGCATTGTCCGGTGGTATGAGCATAATGACATGGAGGATCTGGAGCGTGTGCTCGCGAAGGTCACCAAGGAGCAAGCCCGGAAGCCTCTGACTCGCAGATTTATTATCACGGAAGGTCTGTTCGAGTCTTATGGTGACATGGCGGACTTGCCTAAGATTGTATGTGTCCCGTCAACTTGAACCATGAATTTCCCGTCCTTACACATATCGCAGATCGAACTCAGACTCAAGTACAAGTTCCGTCTGATCCTTGATGAGACCTGGTCTTTTGGCGTTTTGGGACGCACTGGCCGTGGTATCACGGAGCACCAGAACGTCGATGCTGCCGAGGTTGATATGATTGTCGGGTCACTGGCTGGTCCTCTTGTTGCTGGAGGTGGCTTCTGTGCTGGTTCAGAGGAGATTGTTCACCACCAGCGTATCTCGGCTGCTGCCTATACCTTCTCTGCTGCGCTTCCCGCTCTGCTCTCGACTACCGCCAGTGCCACCATCAACATCCTTCAGAACAACCCGGAGACAGTGTCACAACTTCGGGAACTCACCAAGGCCATGCGGGCTCAGTTGGATCCCCGGAGTGACTGGGTTTACTGCACCAGCTCGCCTGAGAACCCCATTCTCATCCTGGTCATCAAGCCTGAGGTTGTGGCTGCTAAGCGGCTCACAGCCGATGACCAGCAGTTCTTGCTTCAAGATGCCGTCGATGAGGTATGTATCACATTTTCTTTCGTTCTAACCCTCTTTAAGTCCATTTCTAATGCTCTCGCAGTCTCTCGCCAATGGTGTTATGATTACGCGGCTGAAGACTCTCGAGGATAACTTCGAGCCCAAGCAGATTGTTCCGCCAGCCTTGAAGGTGTGCGTCACTACCGGTCTCACCAAGAAAGAGATTGAAAAGGCAGGAACAATCATTCGACATGCCATTACCAAGGTGATGAGCAAGAGGAAGTAATGCCTTCCTTTGTCTCATACTTCTGGTCCTGACCAGACATCCGATGACTGCTCACGCCCACATGACTTCAGCATCTATCGCTTTTCTATTCCCTTCAGTCGACCTACGCCCTAATGCCTTTTCAATCCTTGTATTGTTACCTTGTCGATATACATTCTTATTGCATGCCCTGCACAGGTCCGCCCTTTTCTCTCTTCGCCGGCGGTATGATTCTCTGCCTGTGCATGATTCTAAGTTGTTTAATATTATCCTTCTTCCCTTGGCTCTTTGCTTCAAGGACATATTTATCTTTGCATACATTATTCAGACCTAAAAGCCCTTTATCCCGTGGAATGAATGGTATTACTTCATGTTCCGATTCTTCTCTTTTCCCCTCTTGCCATAGTAGAGTCTACTGCTATAAATTTGAAGTGTCAGTCAGTTGTTAGCTAGATAGAGCATTCAAAATGTCCATTTGCCGTTCATTGGGTTTGGAACTCAACAGAAGACGAGAAGCCCAATATCTTAGGGCCAGACCCCTGCCCTAAAACTACCCCTTCATCCCCCTTTCAATGTCTCAATAATTTCAGATAGTTCATCAGGTCTGCCTCACATTTACCGAATTCCCTGCGTCTCCGAGCGACCTCTAAGAATGGGCCCCACATTCCATCTACTCCATCGCTGGGAGCATTCTCGGTCCATCCGACTTCGTGATCTCGTGTGATTCCCCGTAACTAGATCTCTTTGCCGAGCAGATCAGATGCCAAAGGGCCTCTCAATCAAGCTAGGGGACATGTCAGAAACCTGGAAGTTCCCCGATTCCATTCCACATGTCCTTACCAGATCGAGGTGCTATGCTTGGCCATCCTTGTGTTTACTCCCTCCGCTAATAAAGTTCAAGTAGCTGGAATTCCGTGGAGCCCGCTCGCATTGATATAATGGGTCCGATCGGCACCATATGCATGGGTTTTCCTTTTCTAGATGGTTGGAAAGTTACTCTTGTTATGATCGCCGACTACGCTCAGATCATCACACTCAATTTACAGATCAGCTTCCCCAGGGCGGATACAGGTGGAAAATGAAGCGCCTTACTCAGGCGCTTTTCGGCCTGCTACTTGCTTGTGGTGTTTGCGCCGAAGCTCGGGGTAAGAGCATCATTGTTCAATTACCCTCTTTCTTATATTGGATTTTGCTGATTGGCAATAGTCGAGGAACAATCCCGTGGAGATCTCGCCCAGCCACCCTTTACCAAAGAGGTAGTCGTTTGGGTCAATGAAAAAGGAGAGCCCATCAGCACGGAAACACACTACGTTCAGGCCTTGGCCTCCGCACAAGAGAATGTTAGTAGATAGAACTGTTCCTGATGAAGAGAGGATATGTTGGTCCCTTATCGAAAAACCGGCCCTAACTCTCACACCAAAGCAACCCCCAACATCAACCCCGGACACAGATGGATCTGTTAAGGCGCCGCCACATAAAGTATCCAAGAAAAACGACAATGTGAACGACCACTCCATCCCAGCCCCAGCCAAGCAGAACGAGCTAAAACTCCCTAACATCCACGAACCGTCCGTTCCTTATCATCCTCATCAGCACCCAAACTCCCAGTTCGGCATCTCTTACTCCCCCTACAGAGCAGACCGCACCTGCAAGACCCAAGAAGAAGTAAACCAAGACCTAGACAGAATCTCCGAATACTCCTTCATCCGCATCTATGGCACAGACTGCGACCAAACAAGAATAGTATCCAAGGCTGCACGACGACACAACATGCGTGTTTTTGCCGGCGTCTACGACCTAACCGATTTCCCAGGAAGCCTCAGCGCCTTCAGCGATGCTGTAACAGGCCCGGACGGCAAAAAGGACTGGTCCATCTTCCACACTATCGCCGTCGGCAATGAACTCGTAAATGCCGGCACCAACTCCGCCAGTGACGTCGCGAGCGCCGTGAAAAAAGCACGCTCTGTACTCCGAGCACAGGGCTACAATGGCCCCGTCGTTACAGTCGATACTTTCTCCGTCCTGCTTGACCACCCGGAACTCTGCCAGGTCTCCGACTACTGCGCTGCAAACTGCCATGCTTTCTTCGATCATACCCAGCGTCCTGCTGGTGCTGGAGCTTACGCCCTCGCACAGGCGCATAGTATTTCGGCTCGAGCTGGCGGGAAGCGGACTATGATTACGGAGTCAGGGTGGCCGCATGCTGGGGATGTGAATGGTGGTGCTATTCCTTCGGTAGAGAATCAGCGGGTGGCTATTGCTAGTTTGAGGGGGACTTTTGATCACCGGAGGGAGGATTTGGTGCTTTTTACTGCTTTCGATGATTTGTGGAAGGATGATAATAGTTTCACTTTCAATGCGGAAAAGTTTTGGGGGATCCATGGAGGTTTGTAGAGAGCTCTAATGGATGTTATTTTCTTTCTTTGGCTCTTTTGTTTTTGTTTTATACAAGTATTCGTGTACATACAATACAATACTCTTGGAATAGGATGCAAGCTGAATGACAAAGAACGATGTATTAACATGAATTTTTATATGGCTTCGCTGACAATATTACATACTTTACATGATATTTCAGACTGTACATTCAAACTGTCCAGATGAGCACAAGAGCCTAGTGGTGGAAAGTCCGAGTAGTCTGACGTTGCCTCGCCTCTTCCTCTGCACGCGCCTCGATCTGGTCCATCCAACCATCCTTACGGGTAAGCTGATCGAATGCCTCCTTGTTGGATGGCAAATCCCAGAAGAAATCCTTCTCGCTCGGGGATTTCCGATTAGCCTCCAAGTCCCGGGCATGGCGAATGATAAGGCCGGTCAGCATGCCGCGGGACTTGCTACTCGGGTTGATGCCCAGCTGGTTCATCTCGCGCAGGATTGACACCACAGTGGGAAGATCCTTGCATACTCGCCAGTGGTAGTGGATCAACTCATCGTACAGGCCAGATGATGCACCGAGGAAAGTAGAGACACGGCCGTATTCCTTGATTGTCGAGCGGAACTGGGGGATGAGCGGGGAGTCACGGAAGTGGGTATTCAGCAGGCGGAAGGCGATCAGGAGGGTCTTCGGGTATAGAGCTACCACGACAGGGGAGACCGGGACAACGGCTGGGACTCTGAGAGGTCCTGATAGCCGAGTGGATGGTTCGGGCTGGTCTGTTGTGCTCAAACTTCCCGGGTCCGAAGCCTCGACGAGAGATTTCTCGTCTAGGTGGCACAGCATGGAGAAAATGCGCTCCTTGCATACCTCCCACACACCCATGTCGCCCTTGCCATCCTCGATGGCTTGGAAAAGTGCGAATTCAATGTGTTCTGATTCCGCTTTGACGACGATCTCAATCGCTCTCCGCAAGCTGACGGTCACTTCGGCAGCGCTAGCCGTGGCAGGCTCAGTATAGCCCAGTTCACGGAGATAGATTCGCTTTGGACCTTGATTCTCCGCTGGGACTTGTTCTTCCGTTTTTGACTTCTCTAGTCTTTGATAAGAAGAAGAGTCGTCCTTCGCTTGTTGCTTAGCTTTCATATTCGCTCTCTTTTGTCTTGGGTCCTTTAGCAAATTATCAAACACCGACGCTAGCTCAGCCAGTTCAGCCTTCTTCTCCTCGCTCAGCGGTTTCAATGAGCTTGGCTCGGTAGTTTCCCCATCGTATTTGAGTCCAAGCTGCTCTAAGAGCCCTCCGAATACCAATTTCTCCTGACTTGTGATCTTCGGTGCTATTTTTGTTGTCTTCTTGACCACGGATGGTCTGAGGCTAGGCCTTGCAGAGACAGATGCTGCTTTTTTCTGCAGATAGCTTCGTCGGGGCTTGGGAGCTGCCTCACTCGTCGAGCTGGAGGTAGTTGACTCTTCAGAAGTATTCTGACTTGTGTTATCTTCCGCTAATGGTTTGTCCTCCGTTGCATTATTGGCCTCGGTATCGATCTGGGTAGAAAAAGAGCGCGGAAAGCGACGGTTGAATTGTTTTCGGGCCACGGATGAAATAGGCGTAAGTGTTTGGGTGTGATATAGAAAAGGAGCCGTAGAATTGCTTCTTGAGAGGAAGCACAGCCGATTGATGTTTGTCGCCATTGCTGAGTCGTTAGGTCTGCACTTGCGCAGTCTTGTTGGTGCACTTCTCAGAGTAAATCCAATCTAAAGTAAATCCTACTCTTCTCTTCCACTTCGTGAACCTTTTCAACTTCAATTCAAAGAAAGAGAAACAAGAAGAATACCTTTTTTTTTTTTACAGCACGGACTCTAATCGACGATCAACTTTCCGCAAAGTCACATGATGTCGTGTAACGGGTTCACGCGTTTCCCCGAGGACGTGCCTCGCATCCCCGAAGCGCAAACTGCACACGAAAGTTTACCCGAAGACCTTGAAATAAATATGGCAGGGAAAAGTGAGCTGTCAGAATTCGAACAGCAGCGTTTGGCAAACATTGCCGAGCGTGATGCCCTATTGAAGAAACTCACACTCGAATCGCAATCCTCGGGCCTCTTTGCAAGCCCCAAGACTCCCAGCAGCAATGTCACAAAACCGAAAAAGCGCGCAGCTCCTAAAGTGAAAGCAGAGGAGGATATCACGCCCCGGCGGACATCATCGCGCCTCAAGGGTATCGCCGCCGAAAGTGAAGTAGCAAAGCGCAAGGCCGATGATGAGTATGAGGCGATGCGCGAAGCGGACAGACTCAAAAGAATGCGCCGGACAGACTCGTTCAGTCAGGCGGATATGTTTGTTTCAGGCCAAAAGCTTAGTCCCGATAGCCTGATCGGAGTTGATGTCATCACCAAGGGTGTTGCAATGCCCTATGAAAGGACGTTTGGGGACGATGATGTTGAAAAAACAACAGACAAGGAGCTCAAGGCCCTTCGGGAGGAGATGAATGGGCTTCAATTGTGGGACTCATGGGATCCGCAACGTAAATACTTTATCTTCCTATGAAAGAGTTACCACTCTGACACATTTTTATCATTGCAGGGATCAAGATCACCCCGGAGCGTGTGTATAGCATGGCCTTCCACCCATCCGAATCCAAACCTCTTATATTCGCGGGAGACAAAATGGGTCATCTAGGCATGCTGGATGCCTCGCAGGAGAAGCCTGCGGCGGGCGAGGACGACGATGAAGATGAGGATGACCCCGATCCAATCCTCACAACACTCAAGCCACACACCCGAACGATCAGCGCAATGATGATCAACCCATCAAAGCCAACACATTTGTACACGGCAAGTTACGACAGCTCGATTCGAGCATTGGACTTGGAGAAAATGGTCTCTTCAGAGAGTTATGCTCCCGAATCCACGAACATAGATGAGGCAATCTCCGGAGTAGACATGGCTCTGGATGACCCTCACACTTTGTACTGGACTACACTCCAAGGTGGATTCGGCCGATACGATACGCGGGAACCGCGTAAAGATAGCAATGTGTCGAACTGGGATCTTTCTGATAAGAAGATTGGAGGCTTCACACTGTGTCCCTCCCAGCCGCACTACTTCGCGACAGCAAGTTTGGATCGATTCCTGAGACTATGGGATTTGCGCAAGCTATCACCGCATAGTCCCACCCCTGTTGCTGAGCATGAAAGCCGTCTCTCGGTTTCCCACGCAGCTTTCAATGCTGCTGGGCAGATTGCCACATCATCCTACGACGATACATTGAAGATCTACGATGTGGGCGCAAAGGGCCTCTCCACGTGGAAGCAGGGCCACAAGCTTTCGGAAAAGGAGTTCACTCCCGACACTGTTGTCCGCCACAACTGCCAGACTGGCCGCTGGGTGACAATGTATGATTTCTCCTTTACTTTGCGTTCTTGTTGGTTTTGCCAAAGTATCAAGCCCTAACTTTGTTCTTATAGTCTCCGCCCTCAGTGGCAACTCAACCCCCAATCCCCCATCCAGCGGTTCTGTATAGGAAACATGAACCGCTTCGTTGATGTTTACAGCAGCAATGGCGACCAGCTCGCTCAGCTTGGTGGTGATGGGATCACTGCTGTTCCTGCCGTGGCTGTGTTCCACCGTAGCAAGAACTGGGTTGCCGGTGGCACCGCCAGTGGCAAGCTCTGCTTATGGAAGTAATCTGAATGATTTGCTCATCCTTTTTGTGTTATTTCTTCGAACAAGTGGCTGTACAGTTAGCTTACTAATTGTTTTGAGATGTGTTCTAGCCTTCCTTCAAAGACCCGGTGTTGTAGGGATGTGGCCGCTAGCCTAGGGTTCTGTTTATTCCCTGCTGTCTTGTTACCACCGGAGACGACACTTAATATTTGTTCTGACCCAATGTACAGACGTATTCAACGAACAGCATTTGATGTTTGTATTTCTATCTAACAGAGTCACAACTTTCAAAAACGAAAACACCAATCCATTCCATCTATTGGAAGAATATAAAAAGAGTAAAAGGTATTTACACGATGGCCACCATCTCCGAAAGGAAATCCAAACACACAAGAGAAAGACCCAAATGATTCCTCAGAACGACCAAAAAGAGAAAAGCACAAGAGCCTCAGCCAAGTTCAAAAATCAGATCATGTTCTTTTTTTCTTCCCAAAAATCCAGATCCTTACTTTGTGGCTCTCTTTGTTTTATCTTAAGAGCTGGGCTGGCGAGGGGGATGTGTATAAGGGAGGGCGGGACCATGAAAACACACAGTCAAAAGAAGGAATGGGTATCAACACCATGACACATGCTTTAGAGGATAACATAGACATATAGATGATCAAGCAGAACGAAACTCGACGAGGCAAGATAGAAAAATGGGAGTAGAGGGAGAAGTAGGGAGAAAAGAGGAACGTTGAAATCATGAGCACATGGGAAAGAGGTAGACGAGAAAGAACAAAGTCAAAAACGTGTAAGGATGAAAGGAGATTGCATGGACATTGGTGCATTAAGATTCATTGCGTAGATCTTCGTGCGAGTGGTTTTGAGTCTGGTCACGTTCCTTGGCCTTGCGTCGGGAGGGGGCAGGGACAAAGTCGAAGAAGCGGTACTTGCTCGAGGACTCTTTCGTGACGCTCGCCCTGCGCGCCTTGGAGGACTCGGAGTACTCGAGCGAGTACGTCGAGGAGTTCTTCGAGCTTCCGGTGCTGTCGCGTGGGTCAGACCATCGTGGGATGGCAAATGGAATGCGGCTTTGGTCCCAGGTCGCTGATGACGAGCTTGGAGGGGTGTCATCCTCGGCATCGGGAGCGTGATCAGTGGACCGACGGGGAATCGCAGGGCGTGTACCAAAGTAGCCAGTCGAATTGCGGTGGTTACTGGGGGCCGGTGTAGTACCAGCTGACGTTTCTGGCGCCGGGGTGCTAGGTTTGCTTGAGCTTTCATCGTAGAAGGTTACGGCTCGCTCCATCGAATCCACCAGTGCTTCCCATTTGATCTCAAGGTTTCCACTTGGCCGCTCTGCTTGCTCGGCTCGTCTGAGACACTCCTCGGTGCGCGCCCGCAGGCGAAGGGCTTCTTTCTGGAACTTAGAAAGGGTGACGTCTAACTCGGTCAATTCGTTGAGTCGTTCTGGGGAGACATCAAGCCAGACACGTATCAAGTTCGCGAAGGAGCGAGCATAGTCGATGAGGAATGGAAGACTAGGGAATCCCTCACGCGATGTTGGGGGCAACCGCCCAAGGATTTGGATAGGGGTGGTGTAGGAGGGTGTGACGATAGGCACTGGTCGATCGGCAGGTATCGCACAAACGGAGTCAACAAAGTCTTTGAATTCCGAGCGATGACCGACGAGGAATTTGTTCATCGGTTCCATCCAAGGTTCTTTGTTGCCGAATGTTGTCATATTGGCCAGACCCTGCAATGCTTTGGCAATGAGAGTCAAAGTACGCTGTGCACGAGGACGAGGGTGATCTGGAGGTGGTTAGCAAAAGAAAAATCAGGGTACGAGCGTAGTTCCATACCTTTCAAGAGCCCAAAAAGCTTCGGGTTCAGAATAGCCGGGCAGAAGAAGCGTAAGAACAGGAAGCCAGAAACACTACTGTATGTCACAGAGCGGAGGAAGTCACCATAGCGATCGTCTGCACACGCCCTGACATGCCGGAAGATGCGTCGCAGTTCTGGGGGACACCTCGATGCAGAACCTGCAATGGATTTCCACATGCTTGTCGTAAGAGCTGTGAGGTTTCGCCAGTTACGTTCAAGATCCTCGTGGCGTGGAACTCGAGATGGATCGACTTCGCATTCCGGATCGCTGTCATCAATATCACGTAGTCGTTCCGCGATAGTTTCCTCCAAATACTGCTTGCCCAGACGTCGCATGTGAAGATCGAGGGCCTTGGTTAGAAGCGAGTTTCCACGGAACAGGAGGTTAGCCTCCACAGTGGCCGTCCTTCCCATGTCTCTGACAAGGACCTCGCGCTCTTGGCCAGTCTCCTGTGAGTTGTTCGAATGAATTCTCGTTGTATACCTCAACCGGTTGGTGGTGGATTCTTTGTGCACCCCGTCGATTTCATCTTCAACCAAGGCTGAGATCCATTCCACCGTGGACCCCGAGACCTGATAAATGTTCAGAAGCATCTCGGCCAGATGATTTAATTCCGATGACATCAGTTGTGCCATGTTTATTGTGAGACCATTGGTGAAGGAGTGAAGAAGTTCCGACATCTCTGCGTACTCGTCGGACATCAAGACGACGGTTTCCTCCATCCGGGCCTTCATAAACATCTCGCCAATTGCCTGATCTTGGTTATCCAGGATAGGCCACCACTTTTCTATATCCACGCCGGCATCTAATTCTTCAAGTCGCAGGTCTACCCGTCCGAAGATGATATCATTTGCAGAAATTTCAATCTCATCCAGCATGTTCACAGCACTCACGTCTTGGTTGGGTGCGTATGTTCCATGGGAGATGAGTGTCCAGTCTCTCTGTGTCGGATTGAGAGTTTTGACGAGGATAGAGGCTTGCGATAGCACTGGTGGCAGATCAGTGAAGAGGAAATCTTCTCGCCAGAAAGGATTCATGGTGCGATACTTGACAGCAGTCTTGCCACGAATTTCCCCATCTAGGTGCACCTCTGTGTAGTAGTCGCTGACCTTTGAGGTTGGAGCAGGCTGGCCATGTGATCTTGATGCCTTTCGGCTTCGGGGGGTGTCCTCCTCTTTGGCGCGAAATAGCTTCGCCTCTACAATTTTCAAGTTTAAGAATCGCTCGATTCGGAACATGTCTTTGGTCAAGGGTGGTTCGGTGGCCTCGGCGTCCGGAATTTTATTAGGATCCTCTCCCTGAGACACAGGACCATAGAGCTCCGGGATTGTGAATGCGCGCAAAAGCACAAACCACACCTCAAAGAGAACACGGCTTTCAAGAGCGAGGTATATAGGCCGCACGTTTGAATCGGGTACCGGATGTGCCGTATATTGAGGATAGATGGCAATGCAAAATTCATCATCCAACACCGAGGAGTCCAGCTGCTGAATAGCGCAGCGCGATAATTGAGACAACTGCACACATGCCAGGAGGGCCACGTCGGACTCCGTGTAGAGCTTGAAAAAGCCATTCTCTTGTAGTGTGCAGCTCACCTTTTGCCACGAGGAAGAAAGAGCCCTTGTCTGTCTGTACGTCGACACTCGGCGTCCGGACACCAGCATTGCACCGGAAGCAGACGGCTTGTCCCATAGAAGCATCTTGCCAACCTTAATGATAGTTGCATCCTTTTGTACTGTGCTTTCCGAGTTGCGTCGACGCTCAGGGATCCGCCGGTCTCCAATCACAACCTCTTGAGGTTTTGTCATCTTGTTCTGAACACCCTTAGGTCGAATTGGTTGCCAACACAGTAGAGCGGCAAGCCAGGAATCGAATGTTTCGTTTACGTGAGGTCGTAGTTGTATCCCAAGCCCAGATGTAAATGTGTGAACACTCAAATAGGTGGCTTGGAGGTCAGAGTCCCACAATGTCCGAACTCGACAACCACGTAGATCGGGAATTAATGTTTTGGCCAATGCCGGCTCTCCCTTGGCTTGATAAATGAGACTCCCGGTAGCGACGTTGATAGCGCAGTATCCGGATGTCCAGGCAGTGGTCGAGGTTGTTCGAAAGGATAGGATTCCATGCATTCTACCACATGTAGTTTTCATCAACTGCAGGATCTTTGCGGCTTCCGTACTCGAGAGGGGTGAGGCAAATGAATCTCGATTCAGTGCTCCACCGGCAAACAGACCGGCAGCTCTGGTCAGTCGAGGGCGAGGGACAGTATGGCTGCTGTATTTTGGGGTCTCAATTGACGGAAACCCGATGGAAGATGACGGGTCTTCGGGCAACTTTGGTTGAGGCGGACTAGCCGTGTTAATTGACCCAACCCGCGTTCGAGTTTTGAAGGCGCTGGGGGTGATGTCGTTGCGTTGCTCCTCAGCCGCCGTTGTCCGCGATCGCGCCCGTTGACTCCTTGCTTCCACCGGACGATCTTCTTCGCCTGCTCCAAATGAGTGTTTGTTGAAATCCCGACGACGTTCAGGCTCGATTGGCTGTGATAGCACAGTGTTTCGAGGTGAAGACAAAGCGCCCGTAAGGTGCTCCGGTTCGGATAAAGGAGAATGGTTGGCGGGGGAGTGCGACTCTGGCGTCACAGTTCGAATGGTAGTTTCTCGGAAACTGTCGGGATAGACCATACCATGCCGATCCCTAGATGAAGACTTCTTGCTTGCACGCCGTTCCACTGGACGACTGTATAACGCTTGGTGCATCGAGCTCCGCTTGAACGCGTTCGAATTCTCGGGCTCCATCTCGTTTCGTTATAGACAGTCCCTTCAATAGGCGATGTACACAAAACAAAAATGAAACCCGTCAATATTTAAAGGAAAGGAGACACAGGTTCACTCCCTAATCGCGCCCAACACGACCTCCCTCAAAACAGCCGGTGAGAAGACCTTGTTAGCAACCGATGTATGCGGCACGGCTGCGCTTGTATAATTGGGGGTCACTTTTGTCCAGGAAATTGTTATACGACCACATGGAGTCTGGTGAGAGGTTGGGTATCGGGGTCGCACATTCGGTCGAGGCGCCGGGAGAGGGGAATGGGAGACCAGGACAAAGGAGGGCGCGGGTCACCGTCGTTTGTCTGAGAGATGCAGGAGAATCTAGCGAATACGGTGAGCGTCCAATCCTCCGACCAGTCGATAGCGATAGTGTCGCTGTCAGTGTCAGTGGTGGTCTGGGAGAAGCGACCCGGAAATTGGTTGGGAAGGGCGTGATATCATTATTATTGGAGGGAGGGGAGGGGAGGGGAGGGGGTGTGTGGGATAGGGTATGGGGAGTAAAGAGATGCGCACATACCTTCATCAGTCCCTTTTGAAATTGGGGAGGTTTTGACTATGCTCTCTAGGAAAGATGTTTGTGTGGGTATATGTGTTTTCGCGGATTCCAGCAAATGTAGGCCGCTTTGGGATGGGGGCAGAATGAAGGGAAGGGCTTCAAAGAAAAATATTTCCCAAATTTGAAAAATCAAGCTGGAATTGCAACGGTATCCGACGATCGTAAAAAAAAGACAGAGAGAAAGAGAAGAGAGAGGGGAAGGGGGAGGGGAGAGAGAAGTGGATTAGCGGAGCTGAGTTTGTATAGGGGAAAAATAATGAAAGAATGAGAACGGCAACGCTTTTGGGGCCCTTTTCACCTATAGTCTTTTGAGCTTTGTTGTAGCTTTGCTATTGGCTATATCTCTTCATCTTATACTCCCTTTAGGCCACCTCGATGACACGGCAACACGGGATCACCTTCTATATATGATATAACATCCTAAATCATCCTCAAAGCGAGGTTGGACTATTTTCCTAACTTGTAGATTCAAATCCCAGCCTTTTGGCTTTCAGCATTTAACCGAAAGATACCGAGTCTATATCGTACAATCACCGGGGCAAAGGAAGAAGTAAATAGTAGGTTTAAGCTGATAGAGTTGAGCTGGACTTGAGACCTGTAAGATCATATAGCTTTCCCCAAGTCACTAGCGTGCATGTTTCCCCTTCCATTCCGATTCCCGAAGGTGGTCGTAAATTGCCGAGAGGTTTTCTAGAAGAGACAACTGCATGGCGTCTTTTTACTGACTCGCACTGGCTAGTGGACTACCGGGCTAGTGGAAATGGGACCACTAATCTTGAGTCATGAGGGTTCTGAGGTTTTGATCCATTTTTTTGGTGTATATTATATTATACTATATAATTCATTTTTTTTAAGACTCCTATTCCTACCTTCTATATTGTTGCATTTACATCCATTGTTTCTATCCGGTCTGCTCTACAATATGCAAAACTCCCGACGTGGTGCCCGGGGCGCAGATCCTGGTGCTAGCTAGAAGAAGTACAGAGAGAAGGACGCACCTAGAACCTTTGACGGAGCAGAATGGTTTACTCTATACAATGTTGTGGTCATTCGAGAAGTCTCCAGCTTCTACTAAAGCAAGACGGGAAAGTGGAGCTACGTGGTGAGATCCTCAGCCAGGAATACATACTGGAGTCACACATGATTCAGTTCAGACTGAGCTGTGGAGGGATGATGGATGTGAGTACTATCATATAAGCACACTTAGGTTTGAACAATTTAACAAAAAATTATTATAATATATTAAGTAGCAAATACGAAGCAATTCTAAGTGCCGTGGTCGTCTACTTCCTTACGGGTACCCGCACATGACCACACAGATGATTGCAGGTCACATGACCCACTATCAGTAGGTGGCGCACAATAAATTACAAGGATTAATAGTAAATTCTCAACCCCTCTAAATTCGATTTTCGTATATCAATAGATAAATAATAGATTCACTTTCCAATGCTTTAATCTTGTTACTTTTCTCTACTACGATTCTCTAAATTTTAATATAGCTTGAAATTTTACTACGCGCGCGCTCCCATTGGACCGATCTGTCACCCCTGACCGCCCTCCTCCGCATTCCTTCCCCTTTGGGGATGGCGGCTGTGCCTTTGCTCTCGTTCGGGTTTAGCACTGTCCCTGGCCACTTGTACTGTCTATCTATAGAACGCCGCTCGATCAACGCACTTTCTTCTCTCTTTCACCATGCAATTTATTTCTCGCCCCCAACTCCCACACCTTGCCCCTTTCATTTCCTCTAAGAATGCCACTCAATATGGGCCGTTCTGACGAGTGTTGCTACAGAGCAGTTGCGCCTAGGAGCAGAAGCATCGGGGAGATCTAAGTCGAAGGCTGTGATTGCGTATTGATATTCTATCTCCCGGAGAATCCACCATGAATATTGCTACAAAATTTTGTAGATCATTTTCTGGCTATTATTCCACTGACATCCACAGTCGAATAGTCGCCGGGGCATGATTTAGATCATTGGCATGACCTTCCGTCGAGATCGAGACAATCCATATTCGTGGTATAGGTAGGTCCCTATACTCAGACTAGTCTTCAGAGTGACGGCTCTAGTAACTTGTATGGCATTGGATTGATCTGCTATTGGTAAAGGAGGAAGTAGTCTGTCTTGTAAGACAAATCCATGATGCGACTCGACTGCGTACTGTTAATTGGTCTCGAAAATGCATCTAAAGATGCTCAAATTTATTGTCTATACTGTTCAAGCACATAATCATCCTCTGCTAACTAACCCATGTATATGTAATAATCCACCGTGCCCGTTCGATCAGATCATAATCTGGCTCTCCATCAACCAAACTGCCCTCCGGTGAGAGCACACTGCGAGAGATTGGTTTCTAAGTTTCATCTGCTATAATCGACACCCGTCCCAAAGAGGCATGCCAAGCCGTCTAAATTCCCGAAAATCTAATTTCCAAAGAGGCTCATGAGGACCCTTTTCTCCACTGCCATAATGAAGACTGCCATAATGAAGCACATTATTTCTGCCCTTAACCGTGGACCGACATCGACCCGATATCGAATCAGCTTGGGTATCAGTGGGGACCACTGGCAACGGCCAGCATGCTCGCAGCGCCAAATCGGTTGGCGACGGAATGGCAATAAGGAATGAAAATCGATGATTGAGACTAGTTGGCTCAGTGAAACATAGATCGACCACGCACTCTGAGATCGTTTGGATTCCATCCAGTCCCCACTCAATCCGACACCATTCCACATATTGTTCAGCAAAGAAATCCAGATCATGTGTAGACCATGACCAGCGTGTTGATGCGGCATTATGGATGTGGTGGAAGAGTTCTAGATTCCAGAGGCCGCGGTGCGTCCGATAAGACTCGGTCCATGATGGTGGATATATCGCAGGATGGAATGTTTCACCATTGGGTTCTGGAAGTCTTCCATGCATCCGCTCTGTAAGATTGGCTGCAGGAGCAATTGGGCGGCGGGGTTTTGCGCTCTCGAGACGATCGAAGAGATGCTGGAGACAAATGCAAGCAATATGATGGACCTTTGCCGCTGTACTTACGGCCTGGCGCACTGCAGCTAATGATTTGATGGCGGAAATAGAAATAGGCTGCAAGGCACCCCCTGACAAGCTGTCGAGCTGTTCTAGCAATGCTGTGGGGGTGAATGTTGTAGACTCAAAAGAGGCTAAGAGCGTAAATTCATTGTAGAGTCCTTCCGAGGTTAGAGGACAATTTTTCAGGACGTGTTTTGCAACAGTTCTATACGAGGTGTTGAATGCCTGCTCTGCTCGGGGAGATATTTGTTGTATACCGTCTAAGCTGGTAAAGTCGCAACAGTACTCGAGAATCAGCAAAATAATTTCCGTCGGGAGTTTTGAAAAAGGATCCATTCTCGGCCGAACATGATTATAGGGGCAATGGATAAGAACAAATAAAGATACTTTTGCGTAGTATTAAATAGCACAATGGATCAAAGGCAAGGATCGCTCGAGTAGCTGATCCACATGTTCTCGACTGTGAAAGAAATATTTATGACGATCTACAAAGTATTTACGCATTCATATTCCGGCCAAAATTCACCTGGTATGCTGGCTCCAGAGGTGTTCCAAGGACTTCCTCTTCTCAGTCAACATAAATCCCTCTGGGGTTATAGTAAAATACCTGGAAGCCATGTCTGGGGAATTGTGCTGACAAAATGGAGCTAGTGTGGGGGATTTACAGGAGTGGATCTATCCAGGTCAAAGCCTCAACCTTGAAAGGATCGTCTTAGTGTGAGGTTACAGGGTCTCGAACAAAGAACTATTAAATATACTTCAATGGAAACTGTTCTAAGCGATAGGTAGTGGATCCATGGAACTGGGACTTTGGAATCCCAAAAGTATATACAACATAGTTATGTATCCATATTAATTAGTAGAGGGTTATACGAACTTTGAATCTTTCCAATAAGACCCTCATTATTAAGAGTCAGAATATCGTCTTCCGGGAAATAATCAGTATACGGCCTGACTGTATGTATTAACGCGTGGAATTTTACATAAATACATATGTAGTAAGTTTGAGAGTAATGTCAGAAAAACCACTTGTGGAGGTTGACAGGCTGAGGTCGGGAGCTGACATGGGGATAAGGACAATGTAGATAAGGATATATTCACGTGATATCACACACACATGACATATAGTATCGTGCCTGAGGCGCCAAGGATTGGAACCCCCCTTCTTTATGTCATCATAGATAGAGGTTTGGGGAATGACCACAGTTCCTGGTGACTGTTATCACAAGGACTAGGTCAGATGCATACTTATCTGTTATAAGCTTGGTACAATCACCCTAAGCAGGGCACACCCATTTCCAACCCGATAACATTCGGCCCGCTTTGTTGATAGCGATTCCCATCTCCGCATTAAGTGCCGCTGGATGGCATTTCATCACCACCACCACTGGCTTTTGAAGCTGTTGCCATGAGTGGTCTGACTATAGCCTTTAGTCTGATACAAAATGATGTCCTCCAACATATTATCACGGTTCCTACCCCCGACGGGCTCCCCATCAGTCTACGAGACCATTCGCCAACATGACGCCGGGTCCGAATACTCTGATCTCGAAGAACGTGCAGGCTTGGTCATAGAAGACCAACAGGAACAGTTTAGTGACCGGGAACTGGAGGACGCGTTAGCGGATGCGCAGGACAGTGAAATAATCAGCCCCAGTACTGCGTTGCTCGACCAAGCACGGTCGGGCAAGGCACCTGAAGAGCGAACTTCTCCTTCTGGCACCCGCCGTCGCAAGTCGTCCCGGCCTCAGTGGATGGCACAAGAAGCGTCACTTGGCTATGAGCTTGACGATCATGACGAGGATGTTCCACAATCTCTGTTGGTAGAAGGCCATCACGAAGATCTGAGATCACGGTTACCTCCTCCCCCCATTCTCATGATCGTTCGAATCGACGAAGAGCCCCCAGTCCTGAACCATCCCCGCAACCCCCCAGAGCCCGCTGGAATGCACGCAGAGCAGCCCCTCAACCACCGCCCAGTGAAAGCGGTCATCCAATAAGGAGATGGTTCACCGGGCAACACCCCGGTCTTGCCAATACTGATCCCAAGAAGAAAGCAATGTGGCGATGGGCAAACGTCGAGGATCTGGATAACTTCTTAAAGGATGTTTACATATACTTCTTAGGGAACGGAATTTGGTCCATTCTGCTGACCCGGGTGCTGAACCTCTTGTAAGTTCAGGATAGTACCTTTTCCAAAGAATCTTAGGAGAGGCTGACAGTACAAAAGGACATTTGCATTCGTCGTTGGTTTCTCTACCTTTTTAACCAACTGCATTGATTACCCTAGAGTCCGGCGGAGTAAGACTCTGGATGATATTCTCGTGCCCCAGTGCACAGCGAATATGTCTGGGTCGTCCACATTTTTGTTGTGGCTCTTCAGCTTCTTCTGGATTGGGAAACTTTTTCAGTACCTGCTAGATATTCGTAGGCTGAAACACCTACATGACTTCTATCTCTACCTACTTGGCGTTTCAGATAGCGAGGTCCAGACGATTTCCTGGCAAGAAGTCGTGAGCCGACTGATGGCGTTGAGAGACTCAAATCCATCTACCGCAGCGGCAGTTTCTGCCAAACATCGAAGATTCATGGGCAGCCAGTCAAAGCAGCGAATGGACGCTCACGATATTGCCAACCGCCTGATGCGCAAGGAGAACTACATGATCGCCTTGGTAAACAAGGATATTTTGGACCTCACTCTCCCTATTCCATTCCTCAAGAATCGACAACTCTTTTCGCGGACCATGGAATGGAATCTCAATCTTTGTGTCATGGACTATGTCTTTAATGAGCAAGGCCAACTGCGGACCCTATTCCTCAAGGACACGCATCGCAGAGCGCTGAGTGATGGCTTACGCCGACGCTTTGTTTTCGCTGGTGTGATGAATATTTTCGTGGCGCCCTTCATTGTTGTCTATTTTATGATGCACTACTTCTTCCGGTATTTCAACGAGTTCAAAAAGAATCCGGGCCAAATCGGTTCTCGCCAATATACACCTATGGCGGAATGGAAATTTCGAGAGTTCAATGAGCTTTGGCATCTCTTTGAGCGTCGCATCAACATGTCTTATCCCTTTGCCAGTCGCTATGTTGACCAATTTCCCAAGGATAAGACCGTTCAAGTGGCACGGTTCGTTGCTTTTATCTCTGGAGCTCTTGCCTCAGTGTTGGCCCTTGCCTCTGTGATAGATCCAGAGCTCTTCCTTGGGTTTGAGATTACCCCTGATCGGACTGTTCTATTCTATCTTGGTATCTTTGGCACAGTCTGGGCTTTTGCGCGAGGGCTAGCACCCGAAGAGACCGATGTCTTTGACCCCGAGTATGCACTCCTAGAGCTGATCGATTTTACACATTACTTCCCATCCGGATGGAAGGGGCGTTTGCATAGCGATGACGTGCGGAAAGAATTCGCAGTCCTCTATCAAATGAAGATTGTGATCTTCTTAGAGGAGATTTTGAGCATGATTTTCACTCCTTTCGTCCTGTGGTTCAGCTTGCCCAAGTGCAGTGACCGCCTCATTGACTTCTTCCGGGAGTTCACCGTGCACGTTGATGGTGTAGGCTATCTCTGCTCTTTTGCCGTCTTTGACTTCAAGAAGGGCACAAATGTGCTCTCTCAAGCCGGACCTGGGCGCCGGGACCCTGGCAAGCAGGATTTGCGCACCGATTACTTCTCAACTAAAGATGGCAAGATGCTAGCTTCCTATTATGGCTTCTTGGACAATTACGGTACCAACCATCAACCTACCAGCCGACGACCATTCCATCCACCGCCAACCTTGCCAACCCTCGGCTCGCCCACTGCAGCCGAGTTCGGTGCTCTTCCTGATCGCCCTGACCATCTCCAGACACGCACTGGGCTGACCTCCGGTGTGCCATTTGGCCCTCAATCACTGATGGGCGCCTCTAAACTAAGGCAAATGGGAGGATTCGACCGCCGCTCTCCTGCCCCGTCTATTCTCCTTGACCCACAGCACCAGCCTTCGACTACTGGGTTCCGCGCTGCAACCAGGACCACTCCACAGCAGCACCAGCGCTCTCGGCTCGGACGCTCCCAGTACCCGTCTACGGATCCCATCGACGACGAGGAAGAACCGCTATCCCAAGACGGCCGTGATTCAGCAACGCGGCATTCCGGTCCTCGTACCGGTACTTCCAGTGCAGGTGCAGGCACTAGTGAAAGCAACCTCGGCGATTCTTGGCGCATGAACCCACTCAGCAGGGACGATGACCCCGATGAAGGCGAAAATATTGACGCCATCGCTGGTGGGGGTGGTGTTTTGGGGCTAATTCAGCAGTTTCAGAAAGCCAACACCGAAGGCCGGCGAACAACTGTGGGGATCTAGATATCTGCTCTATGCATTTTTCTAGGATAGTAAGCTCGGCAAGATCATAGCTTATATGTTTCAGACACGATATATGACCATTTGAAGCGGAGCTCAGTCTCCTCTAGTGAACCATTTTATATTGCTCTATTATGCCGTTTGTGTTAAGTAGTATATTAGTAGCTCTATAGACAAAGGTAGAAATGCCTAGGATAGCCGCATACACCTACATCAGGCACTCACATCATATAGCTTTGGGCACCTAAACATACTTTCCCAGATTATACTTTACCTATGTCCCCCTCCCCTCTTTTCCCTCTTCCCTTCCCTTCTGTTTACCCTACTCCCTATTACTCACGCGTATTCATATTTTGACCTTGCGCACAGATCAGCCACGTTTATATCCATACACAATCCAGTAGTTACTCTAAAACACTCTAAAACAAGATGTTCAGCTGTTTCCAAGAATGTATCTTCGGAAGGGCGAAAAAGTCACGATCCCCGGAGTCCATTGCCTCCACTATTGTCACCAAGATCCTCAATGCCGACACACCCTACTCACTCCACAAGGAAGTGAGCGAAGAGCTTTCAGCCGAGGGTTGGTCCGACGCCATAGCACAGGCTATCCTCCGCGGCTTAGAGAATGCGGTCAAAGCCGGTGCGGACATGGCGCAAGCTGCGTCTGATGCTGCAGCCAAAAGCAAAAACGCCGCTGTTGGCTTTGCAACCGATCATCCTGTCTACGCTACATTGATTGCAATGGGTATGCTGGCCTTGTTGACACCGTTGGCTCTTGAGATGCTTGGGTTTGCGGAGTCGGGTCCAGTTGCGGGCTCGTTCGCAGCTGCATGGCAACGAACTTATCGTGGATATGTGCCCAAGAAAACTTTGTTTGGATATTTTCAGAGGCTGGGAATGAAATGGCATTGGGTTTATTAGAGGTCCATCTGAGTGTGGCCCCCCTGATGGAAGTTTGCGAGCCCACTACGCGTTTTGGAAATTTACGTGACAATATCCAATGTAAGACTAGAAGGGAAGCTATCTCTACGTTGATAATGATGATGAATCTACCTACTACCGTAGAGTTCCTTATATGCTTCATGAGCACAAAGAAAGAGAGAGAGGTCTGACTTGTCAGCGAACAGGCAGGCAGTGGTCATGCTAACTTATACTATGTAACAAGCCAAAAAGCTCTACAGAGAGGAAATGGCCATTCGAATACCCTACTCCGTGTTTCCTTCTATTGTGCTCCCAATTTCAAAATCAAAATCAATTCCGATGTCGGGTCCTCGCCTCTAGCTCTCAAATAAACGAGGATTGTATTTCGCTTGGAATATATACAACTGCCGACGTGCAGTACAAATCGAAAGGTATCGATCTATGCAATTGGGTATAGCTGAGTATAGGATAGATATATTCTATAGGAATGATGAATTTTTGGGTGGCTGAGAACTAAGCTCCAGATGGCTTATATATTTAATTAAAGCTAATTGTAGCTCTTGGATCTCTTGGCCTCCGATATTAGCTTATTGGTGGATTTGTTCTTCTAACCCCTGATAATCCATATCAGGCCGGCACCATTCATATGTTCGCCGATTCATAAGCCTGTATCAAGATAATTATACTCTGGTATAGGGTATATTTTCCGGTCAAAACTGTGCTCCGTATATCCGGCATGCAATTGTAATACTCACGCGGAGTGTTATGTATCCCCTAGGCTGCAGGCTGTAGGGGTTCCCAGCACCAATGGGAGATGAGCCCTGTGGACCACATTTGCGACGGAGGCAGCACTTGATATGGACTAGCGGAAGAGTCGATTGATGATAGGCCAAATTGAGGACCCTTGCGGGTTGCATGCATTCAATCCAGTCACAGTTCGGAATTCGGGACCAATGATCGGCGTTGAAACAGCCCTGTTAATTCACTAAAAAGATGGCGCCTGGGCTGTAATTTGTAATTCCCTGCCCTTGAGACCCAAGAACCCGCGGTTCTCAGGGCTTTTTTTGGGGGGAGGGGGTTGAGATCATGGGATTCATTAGATTCATCAAAATATCTTTCTTCCTTTGGAGAAAGAAAGTTGGACAAAATACAAAGATACAGACACAGAAAGGTGAAGTGTTGAGAGAACCAAAATAGAACGGGAGGCTCTAGTTAGCATGTGGATCTTATTTACTTGTGGAGTCTCGTGATTTCATCTGAACTTTGCTAATCTCGGTGTTTTCTTCCTTTCTTCTTCCTTTCTATTTTCTTTTCTCGAATACACGGCGATCGCTCGCGATGTTTCGAGCTCGCCGATATCGAGTTCTGGTCGTGTTCGCGGCGGCTGTCGTCTTCACATTCTTTCACTTTGCGCGGTCACGCGATTGGAGCTATACAGTTGTTGAAGAGTCCATTGGCGTTCATCCACCCGATGCCCATTCGAATCAACCCGCGACACCAAAACCAGAAAATCCGGCCGCTGTTGCCGCCATCGAGGAGAGTAGAAACCGTGTGCTTCCCAATCCCTACCGCGGCACCACCTCCCCACCACCAGAGAAGATACCCTCGCCCGTGGGTCCCAATAGCGGCTCAAAGGACGGCACTAGCCGATTCAAAGATGCTTCCACCGACACTCCGCCGGTAAAACTGTCCACCGAGGATGACCCGAAAGACTCTGCGAAGGAACCTGTGAACAAACCGACGAAGGTGGAGAACGCCGGCAGCTTGTCACCACCTACAACGGATAATATCAATAGTGCAAATGAGGAGGAGATTGACCATGGAGGGACCGGCAGAAGGGCAGCGGAGCGCCCTGAACCTGGCGTTCCAACGGCCAAGTGGAAGAAGTTACCAGAACGGTTCCCCGTCCCTGCAGAGGAGGTGATCAAGTTGCCAAAGGAACAGTCCAAAACAATCCCCAAGCTGCAAGCGAAGTTCAAGGATGAGTCTAGCTCTGACAAGCAAGAGCGTCTACAACGGCTTAGCGCTATCAGCGCCGAGTTCAAGCATGCCTGGAAAGGTTATAAGGAGATTGCAATGGGACATGACGAAGTCAAGCCCCTGTCAAAGGAGTCTGAAGACCCATTCAATGGTTGGGGAGCGACATTGGTCGATTCAATTGATACTCTCTGGATTATGCAGTTGAAGGATGAATTCTCCGAGGCTTTGGATGTGATCAAAAACATTGATTTCAAAACATCACTAAGAGCAGATATTCCGATGTTTGAGACAACCATCCGCTATCTTGGAGGTCTTTTGGGTGCCTATGACATTTCTGACCATCGATACCCGATACTTTTGGAGAAAGCAGAGGAGCTTGCTGAGGTTCTCATTGGTGCCTTTGACACACCTAACCGCATGCCACACCTTTACTATCGCTGGGCCCCGTAAGTCTTCAGTGCCGCAACTCTCTCTGATCATCCGGGTAACGACTAACCAAATTTTCTCAGAGAGTATGCCGCGAAACCGCATCGGGCATCTTCCCGAGCTGGCCTGGCTGAAATCGGGTCACTTTCCTTGGAATTTACCCGTCTGGCTCAATTGACCAAGCGGGACAAATACTACGATGCGATTGCACGGATCACGAACGAATTGGAGAAAATCCAAGATTCAACTAGCATCCCTGGACTGTGGCCTCTACGAGTCAATGCACAGGGATGTCCCAAGTATTCCAAGAACACGTCTCCACGAAATAGTAGCCCTACACGCGAGGAGCATGCCGCCAGTACGACCACGAGCACTACTTCGATGACCCACAAAACTTACGCTGCACCGACAGACCTTGAGAGCTATTTGAAGCTGCTCCCACGGGACACAAATGCTGGCATCGAAGGACATGCCCGACCAGCCAACGTTACGACAGCCACGGGTGAACCTGAGATTCAGGCACGCGAGCAAATTACTCTATCGGCAGGTCAATGCAATGGCGGCTTGGGACTTCCTAATTCACCCCGCGATAACGCTTACACCATGGGAGGAATGGCTGACTCGACCTACGAATACCTGCCCAAGGAATACCTGCTACTGGGTGGCCTGAACGAGCAATACCTAAATATGTATAAAAAGGCAGCCACTGCAGCCCGCAAATCTCTTCTTTTCCAGCCTATGGTTAAAGGTGGACGTGACATCCGGTTCATGGCCTCGACTTCTTCAATGACCCCTGGAAAGACCGCAGAGCTCACCCCCACCGATCTTGAATACGAAGGCACTCACTTGACATGTTTCGTCGGCGGCATGTTCGCCATAGGAGCCAAGGCCTTCGGCATTGATGGTGATCTGGAACTCGCAGCCAAACTCACCGACGGTTGTGTTTGGGCTTACGAGTCGACACAAACCGGAGTGATGCCTGAGCGCTTCCGCCTCTTGCCATGCGAGAAAGGCTCGGCCTGCGAGTGGGATCCAGCCCGCTTTGAGGCTGGCGTGGCACGCTACTCGCGTGTAGACCCCGAGGCAGGTCATTCGTTCCGCAATGGAGAGAGCAGCTACGAACAGCGCGTGAATATGATTTCGCACGATCCGCCGCCAGGATCTGCAAGCGGGTCGGTTCCCATCCCCATGCCGGGCTCATTAAACCCCCACGATAGCGACGTGATGGCCAAGCGCGATGGACTAGGAAACCACGTGGAAGCGTCATCTGTTGCTTCAAGCCCAACTTCTATTCCAAATGGAGCTGAACTGCAGAACCGAGATGCACCTCGTTCATCTTTGTCGCCCGCTTCGCCTCACATCGCCGAAGTTGGCAAAGACCACCTCCCGGCAGGCATGACCAGGATCCCGTCGCCGAATTACTACCTTCGACCCGAGGCTATTGAGTCAGTCTTTATCATGTACCGTTTGACTGGCGACGAATCCTGGCGTCGCAAGGGATGGCAGATGTTCCAAGCCATCTCGAAGTATACCCGAACGGAGCTGGCCAACGCGGCCATCCACGATGTCACAGCCCAGAAACCGATCCATAAGGATACCATGGAGTCTTTCTGGCTCGCTGAGACATTGAAGTACTTCTATCTTTTGTTCAGCGACCCTACTGTCGTGGACTTGGATAAATATGTTCTGTAAGTGACGTAGCCTGTAAACAACATTGAACTCCGGACCAACAGCTAACTTTTTATAGGAATACCGAAGCGCATCCATTCCTGCGCCCGGTTGCATAATTGTGTTTTTCATTTTGATACCAATGAAAGTTCTATATATAAAACGTACATCTCCGTCGAAATAGTAACGTAGTGCGTACCTTAGGGTTGACCCGCAGTGGGACTTGAATTCCCCCCAATTCCCCTCCCCGCCCTTCAACTCTCTCCAACTCTTCAAACCGGCACATAACCGGTATGACAGTCTGACGGGAAATGGAGCCTGAGGTCTCGGAGACTGAGTTCTGGACTGGTATGTTGTTCTCAGTCCTCTGTTTTCTCCTTTCAAGATATGCGACATGACAATTGATCGATTCTCGCAGAACTTCAAACGATTGTCTCCAAGCCCTGCGACTCCGAAGACCAGATCGACGATGCCCTTCGAGCTTATCTGAGTCTAACAACTCAACACAAAGGTAAGTGGCACCTCGACCTTCCCCCCTCCCAGAAGCGATGTCCCTACCCCCAACAACGCACTCCGGCGAGCTGCGTCACGGCCGCCCCCAACTTTGTTTTCATTGCGACTAACTAACCCGCCCTTCCCTAGATGGATATCTCCAGTCGGAAACCGATATCTCGCGTTGTTCCTATAAGCTGTTTACTTCGAGTATCTTTGCCACACATGCGGACTACGTGCGACGACAGATTCTCTACGGACTTTTGCAGGACGATGACCCGAACACCCTTCACTTCCTTGCGTCATTCATCCTCTTTGACGGACGACAGAATGAAGTTGTGCTTCAGATGCTGAATGATGAGGGCGTGTTTGCGCGTCTCCTCGAGCTTATACAGGCGATGCGGAGGGCGGATCTGGATGGCGACGCGGGTCTTCATCGCTTGTTGATGGACCTTGTTTATGAGATGTCAAGGATACAAAGGATCAAGATTGAAGACCTGGGTGAGTTTTGAATATATATATATGCTGCTGCCGGTAGTTCTGTGGACTAGTAGCTGACTATGAAGCTCGTGTGCAGTTCTCGTGGATGATGATTTCGTTCGATGTCTCTTTGATATTATCGAAGATCTCTCTTACGACGTTACCGATCCGTATCATTACCCCGTTATTCGGGTGCTGGTGAGTACTGTCTTCGGGCTTTTGATTAAAATGGTATTGACGAATTGCACAGCTGGTTCTGAACGAGCAGTTCATGATCTCCGCTCACGATCCAGCGGACGGCCGGCCCTCTGGTCAATTGACCAACAAGGTAATCAAGGTCCTATCGGCGTTTGGTGGGACGTATAAGACATTTGGGGAGAACATCATTCTTCTTATTAACCGTGAAGGTAATGGGCGATCCTCCTGTTCAATAAAACCGATGACTGACAACGTACAGCCGAGACGTCCCTTCAGTTGCTCACATTGAAGCTTCTCTATCTCATATTTACCACCCCTAGCACATATGAATACTTCTTCACGAACGATCTGCACGTTCTGGTCGATATATTGATCCGGAATCTGCTTGATCTACCTGAGGAGGCTTCCGCGCTTCGGCATACTTACCTGCGAGTTCTTTATCCACTTCTAGCTCATACACAGCTACGAAATCCGCCGCACTACAAGCGTGATGGTCTTCGAAGGCTACTCAGCATTCTTGTTCGGGGACAAGTCTCATATGGGAGCGACTCAGAGCACGAGAAAATCCTGCACTTCGAAGAGGTCGACGAAACGACACGTCGACTTGTCGCTCGGTGTGCGACAGTGGATTGGCTGCGCAATAATGAACAGCCCGACGCAGCAGAAACGCACGACACCCCCACCCAAGTGACAACAACTACAATTGAAACTGTTCTAGATCAAGCCGAACAACATGCGTCACCAATAGATATGGGCGAACCACTGGACGGCTCTCGCACACTCTCGCGAACAAGTACAACTGCTAGCTCGTCCGATACAACATCACCAACGCGAACGGACTCGTATAGTTCATTTAATACACCGGGGAGTCGGAAACACAGCTTAATCCACCGGCTCGGCATGAACTTGGAGCCCGCATCCTCATCTTCACTGAGCGTTCAGGCCGTTGCAGCACAGCACGAAAAGCCAGGCATAATCACACCCAGCCGCAAAGATGGAGTTCCTGCCGCCCACAATGACGAGACGCCAATAATCCGACCACCAAAGGTCAAACCAGAACCGCCGAAATCTCGACGCTGGCGCGGGCGCCGTTTGGCCGTGGATGAAGAAGAGCAGTACTCTACCGGCACAAGCAGTGACGGGAACACCATCCCTGAGGGCGTCGAAGTCAGTCCCGCCACCGTTTTCACCCCCAGCACACCGCCGTCACAGGCACATACCGGTGATCGCCGGGACTCCGGATCAGGTTCCACTCTTGCACCTCCGTGTCCACGGCCGCGACGGTCCGTATCAAACCCACCCCCGGCCCTCCCGCCACCACGTCGTTCCAGCCACATCACACCTTCCTCAAGTCAACCCCGACCCCTAGTCCCAGCAGCCGGAACAGGCCGACATGGGCAGGCTCCACTTCCACCAAAAACTCGCCGTTGGGGACGTGGCAAACCCCAGCATGGACAGAGTGACTCGGTCGAGAGTGGGACCAGCAGTGTTAGTCCTTCAAAGGGGCCTGAGGCTGCTGAAAATACCGCCATGCTTGCTCAGCAAGAACAGCCACCAGAAGGCCGTGCTCTTTCAGACCCGTTCTCGCCAAAGTCCCCCACAATGTTGATTTCGCCGTCTGACGCCACTGCAGACAAGGTAGATGGCCCAACCGATGGTGCTGGCGATGACCGTGCACCTGTCAGTGTAGAGGAGGCAGTGCAGAATGTTTCTTTGCATTGAGTGTTGCTTCTTGGTCTGTTTAATTCCCCTTCTTTTCATGATTAGATATACTCTTTGCCCGTGGCTCATTTTCAGGTTTTTATTTTTGGCATCAAGCGCGGCTGTTCGGGTGAACAGGTTGGGACATGATAGGTTATGCCTCTAGTTATTTTGCATGAGCAATCTGGAATTTTCAATGGATATTGAGGACACCAGCGAGGACTGGATCCTAGAATAGCAAGATATAGTATTTTGCTGACAAGAACGGAGTAGTTTACAATAATAGAATATTTAGAATAAAAGTACAAATCTACCTCTCACCGAGCACGGCCTGCTTCAGTTAAATTCTCTCGGCAACCCCGATTGTGGGCTGGTCATCTATACCAAGATGTTCATTCAGGATCACCTCAAATCTTCAACCCCCAGCTTCGCCCCAGCCCAATAGCAGTATTCCACCCAAATCCAGCACACTGTCCAATGCCAGTAAGTTTATCAGCAAGCGCCTTCCGATCCTCAAACCGGCGCTCCACGAACGCCGCCGTATCCACAAGATCCGGCGTCGGGTCACGGGTCATAACGACCTCAGCACTGGCATAGATAGCGGACACCGCCAGACGCCGCGTGTACCAAGCCACATCGACAGCGTCATCACCAGAAAGAGTAAGAATATCCGAAGCGAGGGCATGCAGTTCCGTAAGAGAGATGGGGATGTTAGCAAGTAGTGACATTTGCGCGAGAGCCTAGCGGAACATTAGCGGAAATCCTCACAATCATCCCCTCCCTTCTGTATCCATCTCCCTGAAAAGAGACAGAAACAAAAAAGAAACAGAAAAGAAACAGAAACTCACATCCTGCCAAACATCCTTAACCTCCGCATTCATCCTCAACCTTTCCAAAAGCAATCCCCTCACCCTCTCCTCAACAGAAAGCTCATGAACATCCTTGCCTTTCTCCCCCGCAATGCGCCGGAATAACCCGCCCTCCTCGACCTTTCCGCGTAGCAGACCCCGTCGACTAGCAAGCCAGAAAAGGATGAGGTCGAATTCCCCGCGTGGGAGTAGCTGCACCGAGACGTCGAGGAAGCCGGCGTCGCGTGCGCCGAGGGTCAGTGCTGTTGCGGAGAAGCCGTGCGTGGGGACGTGGGTTAGTGCCGCGGTTAGGATTGCTGTTTGGGAGTTTGTGTAGGAGTGGTCTGGGAGCCTGGCATGGAGGGCTGAGTGGTACGTCCGGTGAGGGAGGGGGGTTCGGAGTTGGTTTCGGGGTCTGGATTGTGTTGTGCGGGTGGTTGGTGTGGATTGGAGGATTATTGTGCTTATTGATCGGGTTTGGTGGATGGGTTGCGTCAGTGAGGGGGTTAGGACCCTTTTGGGCAGAGTTCGGGCGAGGTAGGCCATGTTTTGAATGTGGTTGGGGGGAATTGATGAAGAGAAGAGATAGATGAAGGTGATGGTTGGAGATGGATTGGTCCGTGCGTTGTAGTATAAGATCCCGATGGATCATGTTTATTCGAGATTAGTATTATGCATGACTTACATATATTTTGATGGTTTTTATGTGGATATACTGGACATTGGTGCTTTATTTATATCGCTTATAATAATCTACAATAAAGCTCAGCTTTAGAGGTTACCGACACACATATAAAAGATATAAGTTGACTGTCTCAACCATACACTATTATATAGATAACATCAAAGCCATATACAGCAGAACAAGCATACATATATATGTACATGAATGAATGTCATGACAAATAGTGGGCTTCAAATGTTGGTACAAAACCAGGATAATCACCATTTCTTCCATTCTAAGGGTCTGAACTTCCAGGGTTCAACTCAGCATACGCGAGACGAGGGCAGAAAGAGACCGAAATGAGCGGAAAAGAAAAGATGAACGCATGAAGGAACGAACGGCGACAACGATCATTGGAACGTGACGAACGATGTTAGACACGAAAGCCAGGCACCCTTAGACCAACGCTATCTATGCTAAGGTACCACCAGCAGACGACTTTCTGGATGATAAGAACTACACAGATTACAAGTAAAGGATATGGAAGAAAAAGGCTCTTTCCATTTTGGAAGCAGTTGATCAGCCCAAACGGGCACTCGAAACCCATTTTGCGAGGACAGAAGCCTCGAAAAAACTGAAATGGGAATAAGGGAATCATTGAATCAAGAAATTGCGAAAAAAAAGGCCAGACGCCCCCTGTCAAAGAAAGTGACTAGGTCAAACAAGGACGAAAACGCTTTACATGATCTGGTCCTGGGTCAGATTGGTTGGCTCTTGACCTTCCATCATTTCTTCGGGACCTGGACCAGCGTTCATGTACTTCACGAAGGTGATGCCCAGAGGACGACCACCGTACTGGTAGCCGGAGAACTTGGCTGTGGGAGAAGGATATTAGTATATGTGTATAACAGCTGCAATCTAGTGGAACGTACCAATTGCAGTTTCAGCGGTGTCGGGACTATCGAATTGAACGACACCAGTACCGCGGGAGCGGCCGTTTGGCTCATACTGGATCTCAGCGCGCTCAACCTTTCCGATGGTGGAGAACAAATCAATCAGGTCTTCGTTGCAAGTGGACCAGGGCAACTGGATTCGAGTTAGCATTCCTCTTCGCTGCTCATCGCAAATCTCTCAAAACTTACGTTGCGAACATAGATGACAGCGCTCTTCTCGCCGTTGGAAGTGGCATAGTCAGTGAAAGGGTTGGGAGGCCCCGAGGGAACAGGAGGGGCACCCTGGTCAAATCCACCGGGGAAACCACCGTGGCCGCCAGGGGGACCAGGGGGACCACCGAAGCCGCCACGTCCACCGAAGCCGCCGCCAAAGCCACCGCGACCAGCAAAGCCTCCACGGCCGCCCATAGGACCGCCGAAACCGCCACGACCGCCAAAGCCACCATTAAAGCCGCCACGACCACCAAAGCCAGGGCCACCGCCAGCGAAACGATCTTCACGAACTTCAAGGGGACGACCCTGCCAATCATATCCGTTAAACTGCGCAATGGCGTTGCGCGCATCATCGGGAGACTCAAAAGCAACGATGCCAGAGCCCTTAGGACGTCCGGTAGGGTCGGTGTGCACATCGGCACGAATGACGGCACCCTGCTGGGCTGTGATACGGAATCCGGGTCAATCCACCACTCACACTAAACAAGAAAAGTAGGAATCCAGGTCCCAAGGGGTTTTTGGTCTGCACTTACCAGCTGAGCGGAACAGATCCTTCAAGTCTTGCCAGCCCACATTGAAAGGAAGCTACACCGAATGGTCAACAAGGCCTGCCAGAACTTAGCGTAACGGGGGGGTAAAAAGAGGGGACAAACGTTTGAGACATAAATCTGACGGCCACCACCACCAGCACCACCTGGGGGGCCCCCGAAACCACCACCGAATCCACCTCGGGCACCGGGGCCGAAATCACCGCGTGGGGGACCACCAACGAAACGGGGCTCGGATTCACGGTCCTGGAGACTGAGTCAGTTTCATGTAATCGCTACACCATGGGTTCTGCCAAGACATACCTCACGAACGTAAACAAGACGGCCCATCAGGCTCTGGTTGCTGAGCGTATTCACGGCGTTTTGTGCTTGGTCCCTGGTTGCATATTCCACAATCCTGGTAGAAAAATCAGCAAGAGCGTTCGATTTGAAAGACAAGATAGTACTCACCCGCATCCCTACAATATCAGGACAGCCAATGTCCACCCGTCAACCCTACACAAACCACGAAAATCGGGGGAATAGAAGGAACTAGCCCCTCTACATGTAAGCGCCCACCTTCGACATTCCATTAGGAAGAAGCAAAACATCGGCAAAGAGAACTTCTCCAGCTGTAACACACGAAATCACAACCCCGGTTAGCTTCAAATGTTCCAACAAATCACCATTCCAAATGTGCAACCCTGCTCACCCTGTCTCATAAAATCCTTAAGGTGATGCCACTTGACATCATACGAAAGGTTGCCAACATAGACCCGGCGGTCTTGCTGGGATGAATCGCGAACGGTCTGCATCATATTCTCCTTGGCGACGGTGCGGTCCTCAAATCGAGCGGGGGGTATCCACTGCGTCCACCGAAAGGAGAGCCTGGGGCAGCTGCTCCGGAAGCACTCAAAGGGGATCGGGAACGACGTTCGGGACGGCGGTATTCGTCACGCTCACCACGGCTGCGGGAGCGACTGCGAGGGGAGTACGAACGGCGGGTGCGTCGGGGAGGACTGCGAGAAGAACGGCGACGGGGCGAGCGAGACCTCTCACGCTGGATATGGTCAGACATGAACAAAGTAGATAAGAAAGGCGGTCGCGAAAGCGGTGCAATATTATGATTTTGATGAAATGAAGATGGGAAGGAGCCAAAGAGGTGTTCAGAGGGCAGTCGCTACCGTGGAATAGCGCAACTCCGAGGGGGGTCGGGGTCCCTCGGTCAGGTGACCACAAGCTCTGAGGGGGGTGTTTGTCTCAGATGCAATGAGGACCTCCGGGGTAGGAGCTTGGGGCCACTGGCACACATCGTTTGCGCACACATCGCATTTATTTTTTGGAATCAAACAATGCGATGGGGAAGTGTTTCCCCTTCAAGCTCACGGATGCTCCAGATCTGGAAGATATCTGATTTGAACAGACATGGTTTCCAAAGACCCCCGCACTGACCACACTCTTGCGATCATTGATATAGACCTGAGAGTCATGCGCAACCTTGGGAATGGGTTGTAGAATCGGCGGGAAATGGGAATATAAAAAGAAAACGGGGTTCTCGGTAAACTTACTTGGTATGGTCGATAGACGTCGGCTGTGCGGATGAGCTGTCAGCGGAGAATCACAAGAAACCAAAAGATAGGAAGAAATAGGGAAAAGAGAGGAAGCGGGGGAAGATGAAAGGATCAGGCGTCAAGGTTCAACCTTTGGGGGGAGACAAGAGACGGTGATTGGGCGGCCTGAAATGACCGGGGACCTGGATGTACCAGATGAGAGTAACAAACGAGTAATACAAAGATACCAAAAAGAAAAGTGTAATCGAGAGGACACGAAGAACATACCCATGATTCCGAGCTCGAGGGAGCGTGGAGGTAAGAAGTTGAACGTGGTACAAAAAAGAGAGAGATGTGGGGTGAGGAAGATGAGAATCTAATGAGGGACAGAAGAGAAGTTTGGATTCCGAGATCCTATAAAGACTGGGGAAATATCAGCTTGGAGAGAAGAAAATACAGAATTCTGATATGTACTTGAGCACCTCGGGCAAAAACCCGTCACCGCCCGGCATATAGTTAAAGATCTATTATTTAGCTATAATGAATGGTACATTCTCTATAGGAATATACTTATACAATGTAAATATGTATATAATCTTTCATCAATCCAAAGATAACATAATGGTCTATTTACTCTATACTGCACCTACATATGTTATGTAGCCTGCCCTCCAAAACCATAATTAGCCTTATCGCTCTTATCGTGTGTCTCTACAGCTCCTGCGCACCAACATCCATCTGCACTCATGACTGGCTGCAGTGTATTTCCGTTACTAAATTGCCACGGCCTGTATCCTACATGTATCGGAAGACGACATCAAGCATTGAATTCAACTGGACCATGTTCATTTGCGTCTTTTTTTAAAAAAAAAGAAATCCAGACTGCAATAAAAACCTCAAACAGAAAGTCCCACTGGGAAATGAAAGAAATGGGTGCCGAGTGCCCAGCACTGGGAATCAAGAATAAATCCATGAAACAAGAAACAATGAAATCCATTGCGCCACATCCTGCCGGTAAAAGGAACGCCGACGCAGCATAACTATTATGCTGTGGAAGAAACGGGACCTGTGTAGAAACAGTCCCAACGAGAGGATCAAAACGCCTTCGAACGGACGAGGACGAATTGTATAAGGGGCAAGGAGAGGTACATATACAGACAAAAGAGATTATCGAAGAAAATAGGAAAAATGGAAAAGACAAATGTGGAGATGAAGATAGAGAGGGTAAGAGACCTATGCTGCCACATTGGTAGGAGGATAACGGCCGGGAATCTTCATGTCCAGGGCGGTAATACTGTCTGTATGGGGAATATGGGGACGCAGCAAGTCAGATGGAATCTTGGCTGCACCGTTCGACTCGGGACCTGGATCCATGTAACGATCCTCAAGGTCAAGGGTGTGGATCTTAGGGAGCTCCTGCTCATCTACCGAGGTAGGATTGGTATTGTTTGTATATTCAGTCGCGTTGGTGTTGGTAGGCGCAGTAGAGACACTCTCCCGACGATCGATTTGAGCAGGAGCCGAGCGATCGCGACGATCAGAAATACCGACACCCGAAATGGCAGCAACGGAAGCTTGGTCTCCATCAGACCGGATCTCGCGGTCATCCGGGGTCGGGTTTTCCGGCTGCTGGCTCTGCCTCTGCTTAGCCACTATCACGGACGGTCCGACCCAGTTGCTGTAGTAGCTGTCGTGTTGGGTAGCTTTGGGGCGAGGCCTTTCATTGGTCTCCTCATTGGTCTGGTAGTTTTGGTAGGAATTGTCTGCTTCGCGGCTAGCTACTGGTCGCAAGCTGTCATCAAAGGTACTGGAACCGTCCGGGTAAGACCCAGCGGCTCCTAGCATATCTCTGCCGGCGGAGCTGTCCCCGCTGGATGGCGACAAGGTCGTTTGGCCGTTTCGGTCAATTTGGACGTCGCTGGGAAACGCACCTCCAGCCTGGCGAGAGGATGTGGGTCGGTCTTGAGACATGACCGCAGAGCCCGCGGCGTATGGAGTACGGTCGGCTTCATCGTCCTCCATGACCTCATTCACCGACCTGCCACTCACGCTGCGGACGTGCTGCCGGACGAAAGCGTTTCGTGCTTCCCCTGTCTTGCTGCTCAAGCCCTCGATATCTTCATACCAAGACATCATGGTCTCGTGAGATTCGGCGCGGAAGACCCACGAGTGGCCTCGGTGTATTGCGCCAGTCTGTCGACCCTTCAGCATGAACTTGTGGGAGCTTGAATCTTCCTGTGAGTGGGAGCCGAGTTTCTGCTCTGGCAGATAAAGTGACATGACGGGTGTCTGCCATGCCACGCGATCCGCCGACTTGAACTCATGGAGATGCGTTGGTGACAAAACATACCTGGAATTGATTAGTCAATGGCTTCAAGCCCCACGAAAAGAAAAGAAGGGTACTCACCAGCCAGGGGTATAACTCTTGAGATACTTGCTCTTGCGTTCCAACATCCCTGCCCTGACTTCGGCAGCTGCCGGATGATCCTTGCCAGGGTAGGTGATGTTCTCCACATTTCGGAGAGGAATCCGAGGATCAACGAGCTCTTCCGTCTCGGAGACAAACTGGTTCCACTCGAAATCCTGGGGCATGGAGATCGGACCTGCCTGGAGCTTCTCCACGGTGTCAAGAGCTTCATTGGCTTCGCGTCGGAGGATACTAGCATATGCATTGTATGCTTTCTGGATCTCGCTCACGACAATCCCTTCCAGTTCACGACCAGAGTTCTCGAGGTTCAAGAATGCCTACCAAAGCATTATTAGACAAGCAACTAGTATAGGGGAAAGGTTATCACAAACCCGATGCAAGTAGTTCTCCTCCTCGATCTGTTTCTCGACCTGCTTCTCCACGTTTAGGCGCAGGATGAACGGATCACCTTTGCCCGATGTCGCAGAGGCGTCGGTATCGACAAGTCCAAGAGCCTCGTGCAGGTTCCGTACAGACTTGCGCGTGCCGTCAATCTCCTTCTCGACGGTATTCTTGAAATCGCCTGAAAGACTCTTGATCTCCTTGGTCTTCTTCTGGAGATCGTTGCGGAGACCAGTCAATTGGCTGATCACCTCGGCCTCCACCTCAATCGCTTTATTGGCCTCGGTATAACCCTGTCGGTGGAAGTTCTGGAGAATCTCCGTTGCATTGGCCAGACCACCCGACGTAAGCAAACCCGGTGGAAGGGCCTGGTTATTAACGACACTCGAGGCGGACAGGAATAGTTTCGCTCTAGCTTCGTATGATTTCTGCACCTCCTTGAAAAAGATAATCAAGTCCTTCAGGAGCTTGCGCCAAGCTAAATCATAGTTAGCAAAATCTCCATGACGCACACAATGACGGAGTAAAGCCCACCTCCAAACCGGTTTGCTAGCACCTCGGTCGGGTTACTGTTGGTAGGAATCGGAACCGCAAAAGCACTATTCACATCGTCGGCGCCCTCTGTGTGATACTTTTCGCGATCACCCAAGCTCAGACTCCTCACACTCCCCGCGCGCATGCTTCTCCGGCTCCCATTGCGCCGCAAGCTGCCCTTCTTGCTCAGTGAGGCCTTCTTTCGCAAGGTACTCGAACGGGATGGGGTCGTGGAGCGCACGTGCGACATGGTGGAGACAGACCGCTGCATTCCAGCAGGGCCGTCAAACACCGAGCTGCGGTGACTGACGGTATCAAAGTCCTCCTTAAACCGAGGTTGGTAGGGAGCCTGCGATGACTCGAGGGCGCCCGAGCTGTAGTGGTATGCGGATGTGCCGGCGAAGGAATTCGGTCGCGATATGGTAGAGCGCGGGCCGTATCCGCGACTCAAAGCCCCCGGATCGTTGGGGTGCGGGATCATGTATGCATCCTGTGAGGGCGTCTGTGGCCGCGCGGCCATCGCCATGTTCTTACGGGAACGTGAAGTTTTATGGTCTATTCGGAAAATAGATGCTCAAGAAAGAAAGTAAGAAAAGAAAAGAAAAGCTAGAATCAAGGATGATCGAAGCACCTAGAGTGGCGTCTTGGTTACCTGGCGAACGGAGGAATTGTATGCGGGGGAGGTACTGATTTGCCCCACTCAGTTTGGAAAAAAAAATAGGAGAAGATCAGAAGAGATTGGGCTCCGATATAGGGCAGAGCAGGGGAATTAAAGGACGGATTTCTGATGACGTCTACGAGATGATGGTGACGAAGAAACTGGCTCGGGATGTCCGGCTGAACTGAGAGGGGAAAAAGGAGATTAAACTTATTTTTCTATATCTTTGGTTGACGTACTGGATCGGAATTTAAAGCCGATTGAAGTATTCTGTATACATGCACATACTCCTATAAATGTACTATATGGTTGCCTGTTGAGGGAAAAGTGGCTGAGGGACTGCGCCCCTGAGAACAAAACTATTGGAATAAGATTATTACCTATGAACATGATCCACTCGATCTGTGGCTCATAGAAGAAAAATAAAAGGGGGTCTCACTCCCCCCTGATCTATAGTGATGAACAGTACATGACGTCGGGATCTGGGGAGAAGGGGTAGATGAAAGGCACTGGAACTTTGTCCCTACTTCTTCCCGGCTCATTCGGGATACTACCCATTTGCATCTGGTTCTTGGCTCATATGTACCATATTTCATCTGGTTGGCTTTCGCATCTTGACTGCCGATCCGATGGCAAATTTCGCTCGAGAGGACCGAGGGATTACATCACGTGATCCACCAGTGGGTCTATACTATATCACGCGTTCTGTGTCTACAACATACGTGAGGTACCCAACAACCATCTAAGCAACTGAGGTTCTCTATTCCATGTGATCGATCCACTTTTCAATGTGTTCCCTGTTGAGGCTTGTCGCAATGTCAAAATTTCTGTCGAGTTCTTCGTCGGAGCTTTCTAGATCGATCCATGGATGTCGATCAAAAGCTTTTCGTTTGATGGATACCCTGTTGATCTTAACTAACCAAATATTTCTGTAAACAGTTCCGACATGAACGGCGAAGAAAAATCATAGTTGAAGTCACATAAGCTTGCAGCGTCGATTTGATAGTCCTCTGAGGGGCTTTCACGGGAACCCGGTGTTTGTTCAATCCTGAATCTGGAATTGCTTCTGCATTTGTAAGAAGCCAATCCCAAGACTCATATTCGAGATAATGGGATCCACATTGGGCATGTTTTCGGACTTTGATTTCCATATTGCATAATAGAGTCTTGCCGAAAGGTTTCCATAGGTTGATAGGAACATGTTGGTAGTCACCACACGTAGTTAGGAATAAAGTCGACATTCATTCTCTCGGCTTATCAATTCCCCGTCATGCACTCCTGGTTTGCAGGTTAGGAATGGTTAAATTATGCCAGTCCACCTAGCGGCATGCAGATCAAGGAAGTGAGTCCCACTCGCATATCACGTATAAAGGATTTGACAAGGCCCATAAATATCACACCAAGCTATAGTGAACCAAGCCGAGGATTCTTATTGCAAGAAATTTGGCGAGCTAAGAGAAATCGTTTTTCTTTATAATAGTGTCAACTATAGCAAAAACCAGATTGCATTCAATATCCGAGTTAAAGAAGGTGCTATAAAGAAGTGCCCCAAATGTTAGAACTCAATGTCATGTAGTTAGTGAGGAAGCATTTCTTTACAATTCGTCGAATAGCACAGCTAATTCTGCGCCCTGAGCTAGATGAACCTGTAAAGCATGAGTTGATAAAGGAAGAGACGCTGATCTACCGCTCATATAAGGAATATAAAGCGCCGCAGCAAAAGAAGCTGAACATTGATTGTACAAGCCACGGCGCACGCAAAATCGAGAAACGTAGTCTAGCGCTAGCATCGAAGAAGGTGGCTTTACGTTAACAACCGAAGGATAGATCTGTCGCAGGTTGACACAGACCATGGTGACAGATAGATACTGTGACCATAAAGGGAGCTTATATTCCAACCGCTATTGGAACATAATATGGTGCTCCACCAAAAAGCCTCGGCTTCATTAATGTCGTTACCTACCTCGATTTCGATCGTGGCTTGTCGGTCCGACTTAGCAGATCAATGGTCTGGGATCTCAGGAATTTGGATGAATTCTACCTGGCAGGAATGCCTAGCAGAGCGATTGAGCAATTCAGCCCGCTGGGCGGGGAGAATACAAGCCCAATCCAAGGAACAGTACTGAAATGTATCTTCCATCCTCGCTGGGGGACTGATCCGAAAGAAGATGAGTTTCGGAAACTCAACTTTCATTGAAGTATGAGTAGCTAATAATAGCTGCTCGAGCATGACCTTAGGCGCAAGAGTGCAATTCCCATCTGAAGTCCTCCAAATTGACTGTCCATTGATTAGACGACGACCTTTTTCTCCTTATGGTGTCTGCTCGCAAGAAAAAGACGTACTCGAGGGCAAATCACCTCGCTCGAGAAAATATGGTGTTTGTCCAATAATATTTTTTTAATTCAAGGCTTTTAGATGGAAAGAATGGGGATTTCTCAGCGCGATCGAGATAAGATGACCGATGTCTCAGGCTCTAGCGGAGAACCCAGTCGAATCTGTCATCGCTTGGGCGGATTGCATCACACATATAGTCACAGGTAAAGGCCCGAGGAGATCTGCAAGCTTGAATGGCCTTGCATCTTGAGGGATGAGGCGCATGAGATGCTTTGACTCATTTCGTTCGACATTAGTTCTATTCTGAAGGATAATGGACCAACAAATACGATTGCATGTACCTCGAATACGTAGAATAACTATGTTCGAAGTGACATTGGTATGCCGATTAACGTACTTTACAAAACCCAGACTTCATCGTGATTTTATACTATATATATTTCCCTTTAGTTTGGGAAGCATCTTGAAGTCTTTTGCTCGTTTGATATACATGCGCTGTCATTGGCTCCCGGGTGGTCCGGGGATATCCCCCCATTTCGGAGTGTTGTTAAACACCAGATGGTATATGGCTGCTTCACGATTGAGCGATGTTTGGTTTCAAGCAATTAATTTTACAGGTCTTACAGTCTACATTTGATTGAGTGCCATGGACTACCTTCATGTAGGTATGCATTCTCTAGTATACCTAGGACCGCACAATCCTAATGTTGATCTAAACTTGAAATGTGTATCGTTTTGAATTTCCTGGAGACTAAAGAGAACCAAATCGGATGGGCGTGTCCAGGCGATAGGCAGCGTGATATGGGGGGATAATTTACACAAAGCAACGATAGAAGGCGGGTTGAGAAGAATGCGGGCTTATGATGCAGGAACTGGGGATGTGGGAACCTCAATGCCGTAAGTCGCCTTGATGCGCTCCCGGCGTCTTTCTTCGTAACCAGGGCCGTAGATACCTAGTGAAATCAAGGAAATTAGTACTGGTAGACAATATCGCTACCTAGACAAGCACATACCACGTCCTTCACCCAATTCCGAGAGGGTCTGCTCTCCGGGAGTTTGGAATGCCTTGCGCAACGCCGTTCGGCGGTCAAACTCGTCCACTGATGTGTCCTTCTGGTATCCGAACAGGGAGCCACCAGTGTACTCGAAGGCGGTCATGGCGGTCGACAAAGCGATACCATATCCGAGCACAGCGGGGAGTGTGCGGACTGAAGTAATCCCGATTATTAGCTCCCAATACATAACCATATACTCAATTGAATTCAGAACTAACCTCGGAGACCGAGAATGGCACCTGAGAAGAAGCCACCCAGAGCGACGTTGTAGTGGTCATCCTTCTCGCGCAGGTTGGCGGAAGCGCTCTTGATGAACTCATAGGTACCACCCATGGCCGCTTTAACAAGTCCAGTTAGCAATTAATCCATAAAGTTGTATGTAAAGAAGCCCATACCAAAGGTAGTAATGATACCACCGCCACGGACGAAGACGCCCAGAGTTCCGACGTTTTGCTTGGTGAGCGTGTTCTGCACAGCCGCTGCGAAGAGACCAACGCTTCCGGTCAGCGCGGTGGCCTTCATGGCTGCCGAAATGGCATCCTTGGGGTGATAGCTGTGGTCTTCGTCGTGGTGCGCCATGATGTGTGTGTGATAGCAGGGATGGACTGCTTGCGGTATGAGATGTAGTTGGCGATAGGATTTTGGAGTCAGCTTTCTGCCACGCCTGACCGCCACCACCCACCATTCCAATAGAGCTCTACATGATTATGTTGATGCCTCTTTCGCATCGAACCCTTTGATTCATTTGCTTTCATCGAGAATCGTCTTAGATACTGCTTGCTACTTACTAAGAAGGGATTTTGATCTCGAAACTGTCCATCCTGTGGAGGTGACAGTTCCAAAGCTTGCCGCTGCTTGCTGCAGTGGGCTCCCCGCTGTCTCTCCGCATACAGTGGCAATTTCATCATTTAACAACATTGTCATCACAGCTGAGCTGTCACATTGCGCGCTTTTGTGAGCTTCGATGAGAATAAAGCCCCTAGGAGAACCAACTCTCCCATAGCATCCAGACGAAGATCCAAACTGTGTGAGGCCCTCAGGCCCAAACACTGTACTTCATGGCGTCTGCACAGAAGGCCGGTAAGGAAACAGCCTGGATCAGCAAATTCAGAATATAATTTGAGCAAATGCTTACATCATTTTTTAATCAATCATATAGGAAAGACCGCGCCACGTCTCATTCATGATGTCCAGCTGTATGACCCAGCACACGACCCAGACACAGGCCGTAATCTCCTATCAGAAACTCCGCCCATTTACCCAGAAGGCTACACCGGCCCACCTGGATTCATATCACCTGAAGCATGTCGACACCAATATGTCTTGAAAGAAGACCAAACCTTCATGTCAGAGCCAGAGCACCGGAGAAGGCCAGGCACATCGTCCAAGGTCTCAGCCATATGCACAAAGTGCCGTTATCATCTTCAAATGGTGGTTAACTACACCAGCCACATGAGCACATTTGGTCAGAAGCAGGGGAAGCACTTCCATCATTTGGTCTACAAATCAGGACGACAGAAGAATGGCCTTGCGTTGCCCGAAGAGACTCCCAAAGGGCAGTTTGCGGAGACATACCATTATCAATGTTCGTACACCTCATGTTCGGCTATGGTATCTGTGCGGATTCTTTCACCGATTTTGAGCCCGGCATTCATCCACATGATGACCGATAAAGACTTGTTGCGAAAACGAGCCGAAGAGGCCACTGCAGCGTATCCTGAGTCCATGGAAGGCATGGGTGATCCGCAGCCGATCAATGTATTGGATAATCTGCGCCTGTACGTTACCAATGCCCTGCGAAATCCCCAGCGCAGCAAGCCCATCTCCTCCGTCAATAAGAGGTTCATGCAGTCTTTCGGCGTGGAAGGTGCTGCTTGTAAAGAATTACTTGAATTTCTAGAGTTCATGTACAATAAGGTTCGTGATAATGATATTGATTCCCAGATCGTCCAGAGTCTTGTTGTGTGCCCGGGGCTTGTTGTGTCGCTGACGAATCGATTCAGGATACTGGGGCATGGCACCCGCCTAAACCGACACCTGACGCCGAGAAACCTTACCATGACACGACGCGTCTCTTTCTCGACGACGTGATGCATGAATTGCTCATCCTAGTATATCTCCGGCCCGCTTCAGAAAGAAGAGGGTCTCAGCTTCCCTCTCTCCCTCCCTCCGCCATCCCCGTTCTTTTCAGTGCTCTAGAAGCGCAAGACTGTTCGTACATTGCGACTCTTTGATCTAGGAGTTCCAACTAATTTCAGCTCCAGACCCGATAGCTTTGCGTTACAAGGAGTTTGAGATGGCCCATGCCCCGTTAGTGCACCCTATTTTTGAATTGACAGAAGTGGACCTAACAGCTATCTTTCTAGCTTCTATGAGGACCTGGGGGTGATGGAGGATATGTCCTCATTTGCTGTCATCGAAGCATACAATCGACAGATCTTGGCCGATCCTGATAGAACCCCGGTATACTTGTCTGCTCTCAAGGCTATCGGCTTTCTGCGTGGTGGCGATGACCAGGAAACTATCGATACAGCTGTTCAGGCAGCTTATGAACAAGGAAAGTATGCAGTTGAGGACATTGCCAGCGCTTATCAGTACTTTAATCTTCACTTCGATGATCCAAACCTTACTGAGGATAGCATCATTGGCAAATTCTATGCCTTTCTCAGCTCTACAACCCAAGATACTGAAGCGCGTCAGCAACTGTGGAGGATTGGCGACTCCAGGGGAAGCTCGCGCATCAAAGCGGCGTCAGAAGACCGTGTGTTGATCCAGTTATGTTGTTTCTAAACTCGAATGCGTGCTAATTTTGCCAATAGGCGTTTCCACCGTCGAACAAGCAAATGTATTCTTGGGGGTCGAGGATAATACCCCGGATGATTTTGTCATGACCATGTATACTGCAAAGGTGTGTTTCCCGAGTGCTTCATTGGTGGTTGGACGCGAGCTAACATTGTTATCAATTAGGTCAATGACAATCCACTTACCCAAGAACTGGCAAAACGCGCTGTGGCACTCATTGCCGAGTCCCGCAAATCGGTCGCGTTGAAGCATTTCATCGATACGGGAGAGATGATTGCTGGTGAACTGGACATTGGTGATGCCTATCGTCTACTCCAAATCCCCGATCGAACTGCCGACGATGGGGCAATCATAGCTGCATACACAATCTGTGTCGATGAAAACCCAGGGGATGCCGAAAGATACAATCAGGCTCTGACAATCATTGCCAAACAACTGGACAGTTCTACGTTGAGGAATATGGCAGGTATCTCCAACGAGCCTGATAGAAGCATGCACGATTGGCCAGTCGGACTACAAAATATCGGCAATACATGCTATCTCAACAGCCTGTTACAGTTCTATTTCTCTGTTCGTCCTTTCCGTGAGTTGGTCCTGGATTTCGAACGCTTCCAAATGGATCTTGATGACGAGGAAACCCTCGCAAAGAAACAAGTGGGCTCCCGGAAGGTGACGAAGAAAGAGATCGAGCGATCTCAGCGATGTAAGTTACTTTGTCGGTGGCGATGGCCATATATCTCAGACTGACCTTTTTCTTTGTAGTCCTCAATGAGCTCCGGACTTTATTCCGTAGCATGATTACTTCATCCCAAATTTCAGTCACTCCCGGCCAAGAACTTGCCCGGTTGACCCTGATTAGCCCAAGCAACGAGGCGGCAATACGTCGTCGGTCAACGATCACTGCTAATAGGTCTGAGATTCTTGGTGACATCAACGGTGCTCCTGTTCTGGGGCCCCTTGGGCCTCCACAGCCCCTTCTCGGGGGTCGGATGGAGCCGGTTTCATCTTCTAGCCAAGCTGATCCCGTACCAATTCAAAACCCGACCGGCAGCGATCACGGTAGCGATGCAACATTGGTCTCGGATGACAGCATGAATGATGCACCTGGACTCTTTGTTGAGGACAAGGAGAACAATCCCCCGGACATGGATCAGCTGTCGGATCAAGCAGAGGCAGGATCGGATCAGGATATGAATATTGACCCAGACGACGGTGTATCGGCCAACCTTCCACCGCCCGTCCCTCCTCGCAACCCCCCGCAAGTTGATCGGGAAAAGCAATTGAAGGAGGAGGTAGAAATCGGTGCCCAGCAGGATGTGACAGAAGTTATCAACAATGTTCTGTTCCAGAGCCAGTGCGCCATCAAGCCTCGGGGCATTGGCAGTGATGGTGAACAGCTTGACCAGATCAAAGAGTAAGTTATGAACAATCGACCACTAAAGTACCTGTTTTAACCTCCCATCAGCTTGTTCTACGGCCAAACCCGCTCTTACATCTCTACCGAAAAAGGCACACGCTCGAAGGACGAACGGTGGTGTGACATCAAGGTTGATGTTGCTCATGGATCTCGAAACATCTACGATGCCATCGATGGGGCATTTGATATCCAAAAGATTAGTGTGGAGAATGCTGTGGCTGAACAATTCGCTTCCATCAGCCAGCTTCCGCCTGTTCTCCAGATCCAGGTGCAACGGGTTCAGTTTGATCCTGTGAAGAAATGCTCATTCAAATCTACAAACCACCTCGGGTTGCTCGAGACTATCTACATGGATCGATACATGGACACGAAGAATCCGGATGTTGTGGATCGGCGAAATCAGTGTTGGGAGTGGAAGGCATCTCTGAAAACGCTTGAGGCCCGCCGAGAAGAGCTTCTCAGGACAAAGGTATTGAATATTCTCAGTCTATGTGCCCTAGATCTATATAACTAATCTTTTTCTTCTCTGCAGGAAGGTGCCGGTGTTGACATAGCAACCTTGTTCCGTAGAGTCAAAACGGCACTGCAAGATGTGGACGCCATTGAAAACGACATTGAGACCGGAGCCGGAGTCGGATCTGATCCCATGAATGCTGTGGCTAGTACGGAACTATTGGACGAACTTGACTGCCTTGCCAATAAGGCAGAGAACGACCTGCAAGGTAGGAGCTCCAGCATTGCAACTTCGCTTGAAACAGGTATATTGATTCTTTATAGCTATCGACCAAGAAATCAAGGATACGCAGACCATGATTTCCAGCCAATTCGCCGATTTCAATAACCTCCCATATCAACTGTACGCCGTTTTCGTGCATCACGGGTCGGTATCATTCGGCCATTACTATATCTACATTTTCGACTTTGACAAGAAGATATGGCGCAAATACAATGACGAGTATGTCACCGAGGTCCAGAACGTGGATGAGATCTTCAAGGACGACTTGACCAGCAACCCTCCTACCCCGTATTTCCTTGTTTATGTGAACGATAGTATGAAAGACCGTCTAGCAAATCCGGTCTGCCGTGAGATATCCGACAACATGACCGACTTTCCCGGTCTAGAATTGGCCACCACCATGGAGGGTGTCCAACCCACCAACCCGGAGACAGACGTGAATATGGAACCTCCAAGTTATGAAGAAGCATTGGCCATCAATGGAACTCCAGGTACGGGAAACACAGAATCCACCAACGTGGAAACCACAACATGGCCCCGTCCTCGTCCTGCGACTGACTCGGAGCAATATTGGTAGATTCCAATGCCACGCCTGTCGATGCGGCAGCTGTCAACCCTTTAAAACGCAAGAGTGTTGATGCCGAAGTGAAACCAACTCGTACGACTTAATTTCTTACTGTGTGGCACCCACCTGAACAGCATGATACCATGATTGCACGATTTCTCGATTCTCTTATGTCTGCACGTGGATATTACTGCATTGCGAGGTGCGAAATGTTTTTTGATATTTCAGCATGTACATAGCTGAAGATACCATGGAGTACTTGTAGAGTAAGATAGCAATTCATATTTTCTCTATGTTTTACCATGCCAAGCTGTACCCCGGATGAACATATTGACCTCAGCTATAGAAAGCTGACTCAGCACTGCCGATTCCCCACTTGGGTAAGCCGCGGGTTCGGATACGGATCGGCTGTGGATTTCGGCAGCGGCAAGAAGAGAGGTCAACCTGTCTAGAGGGATTCTAAAGGTGATGGATAGCAAAAAAAAAGAAGGGATAGATGTAGAATTTGATACTAACTGGTCTGGGATGTTTCTAATCGTCAATCGATTCAAAGTATCGAAATCAGGGCAGTTCATAGTAAGTGGAAATAGCCGGGAATCCACATTTCCGGGGAAAACGAATATCACTCGGGAATAGTTCCGCCCTCACTGCCGCTCGGGAATATAAGAAGTGGCTATTGCCGCTGCCACAGAGCGTCTGTTCGATCTTTTTATAACTTGCTGTGCACTTCGGACAGTTTGGCACAGTTCATTTTGAATCTCATTTAGAAGTCATCCGCTATGCCTTCTCAAGTGGCAACATGTCTGCGCTTTGCGCGTCAGTTCTCAGCCAACCCTGTTCAGGTAAGTGATCTGCCAATGCCTCATATCGCTCATATCGCTTTTTGAGTCATGGAGACTGACATATGTTACGTATTACCAGCACCAACGTTTTATGGCCCGCGCATTCTCCAGCAGTGTGCGCCGAAATGAGATCAACAAGGTGTACCCCTCCGCCGAGGAAGCAGTGAGGGGTATGAAGTCCAACTCGACTCTGCTCGCCGGTGGATTCGGGTTGTCTGGTGTACCTGACTCCCTGATCAACGCCGTCCTGTCAAACCCCTCTATCACTGGCCTGACCGTGGCCAGTAACAACGCCGGTGTGGACGGAGCGGGTCTCGGTCTGCTCCTCAAGTCCAAGCAGATCAAGAAGATGATTGCTTCTTACGTCGGCGAGAACAAGACCTTCGAGCGCATGTACCTGACTGGTGAGATCGATTTGGAGCTCACTCCTCAGGGAACTCTCGCTGAGCGGTGCCGTGCCGGCGGTGCGGGTATCCCCGCGTTCTACACCCCCGCCGCCTTCGGTACCGTTGTGCAGACCGGTGCGGTGCCCCTACGACACAACGCCGATGGCACAGTCGCATTGTTCAGCGAGCCGCGCGACACCAAGGTGTTTGACGGCAAGAGCTACGTCATGGAGGAGTCTATCAAAGGTGACTACGCTTTCGTCAAGGCCTGGAAGGCCGACAAGCTTGGTAACTGCCAGTTCCGCTACGCGGCCGCCAACTTCAACGGCGCCATGGGCCGTAACGCCAAGATGACCATCGTTGAAGCTGAGCACATCGTCGAGCCCGGCGAGATTGACCCTGCCGCCATCCACCTACCCGGTATCTACGTCAAGCGTGTCATCCAGAGCACCGCCCCTAAGCAGATCGAGAAGTTCACCTTCGCCAAGGAGGAGGGCGCTGACACCTCTGCTCTCGGCAAGGGTGAGACCGCCAACAAGCGCGAGCGTATCGTCCGCCGTGCCGCTAAGGAGTTCAAGAATGGCATGTACGCCAACCTTGGTATTGGTATGCCCATGCTTGCCCCCAACTTCGTCGACCCCTCCGTCGAGGTGACCCTGCAGTCTGAGAACGGTATTCTCGGTCTCGGCCCTTACCCCAAGCAGGGCGAGGAGGATGCCGATCTCATCAACGCCGGCAAGGAGACTGTCACACTCAAGCCCGGTGCCAGCTGCTTCGGCAGTGACGAGTCCTTTGGCATGATCCGCTCCGGCCGTATCGACCTGACCATCCTGGGTGCCATGCAGGTCAGCGCTAAGGGTGACTTAGCCAACTGTACGTTTTCCCACACATCCCCTATTTTCATATAACTAACTTTCTCTCGCAGGGATGCTCCCCGGTAAGATTAAGGGCTTCGGCGGTGCCATGGACTTGGTCTCCAACCCCTCGGCCACCAAGGTCGTCGTGACCATGGAACACACCGACAAGAAGGGTAACCCCAAGATTGTCAAGAACTGCGAGTTCCCTCTGACCGGTCCTGCTTGTGTCAGCCGTATCATCACCGACCTCTGCGTCTTCGATGTTGACTTCTCCCACGGCCTAACTCTTGTTGAGATCGCCGAAGGTGTCACCGTCGAGGAGGTCAAGGCTAAAACCGAGGCCCCCTTCAAGGTCGCCGATGACCTGAAGCCCATGCTGTAAATCTCCATGCAGACTGTATGTTTCTTCAAGCGTTTTGTATATAGCAATTAGGAGTTAGATTGTTTCAAATTTCATTCCCATGGATATATCCCGGATATACCTCAAGAACTGCTCTGAATCAATTTCATAAATTCGAGTAGAAAATATAGTAGGTATACAATAAAAAAAAAGGTATTGGTACATGTCATGCAACCCATCAAATGAAAACCCCATAATGCTCACCCAAACCCAAAGAGACAATGATCAATCAAGTTTTCCCAAGTTTTCCAACGTCAAAAATAAAAGTCTATACATAAAGCAAGAACAGAGGCATCACGTCAAGCGGATAATACCGGCCATCCTCTTCTTTAAGCGTCCAAACCAATCGCGGTTCGGCGCCTCTGCAAACTCACGTACGACATTGTCATAGTGGTCTGGGTTACTGGCCGGCCGGCGCAGCCTTTCTGGCATGGGATATTTGCGCGCGTAGCGGTTGTTTAGCAGCGATTCGAGTGCATTCACAGAGGACTCGGAGATTGCCGGGCTGGACTTGTCTGCTGGCTGGAGACGGGACTCAATGTAGGCTTGGACGGAGACTGAGGCTGGGCGGACTGCATCTGAGGGCCAGTGCTTGAGAAGGTGCGTGAGGCGGGTTTGGAGGGAGCGCGGGTTAAGGACCTGGGTAGTTTGTAAGGATATTGTTTGGGATTGAGCGTTGGGGGTTTGTCGATGGCGTTGCTTGGGATAATTGGGATGTTAGATTAGACACTTACAGGTGCTTTAGCCATGGTGGGCAAGAGATATCACAAGATAATTGTGGTATAGGGGAAGGATATCTTCAACGGAGATCTTTTGAGAAGAGGCAAAGACGGGAACAGTCTATTTTGGCCTGGCGCATCAGGCATCCACAGCCACATCCATTCCTGTTGCCTTCTCATCGACCCCGACATTTTCTCATCCCCTTGTACTCTTGTTAATATCATTTTTGCATTCCAACCTAAGTCGTTTCTGTCTCATCTTTCTTTCTGATTCTAATCAGGGCCGCTTCCCGCTCAGCTCGCCATGAGCTCGCAGCGCTATTCACGGGTACAATCCCCTCCGCTGATCCCCTATCAGAACAACCCCCGGATGGGACCCCACGGCAAAATACTGACCTTTATTTGTCTAGGTAAACGCCCAAGATGAAGAGGAAGGACCACATTCCTATCCGTTGAACACGCGACCTGAACATAACAACTCTTCACCTTCTTTCCGTTCCGGATCCCGCTCGTCGTCACCATCATCGAGGCGGCTATTACACAACGATCCGCAACATAACGATGACGACCAGACACTGGCCGATGCCTTTGGCGACGAAGACGAGTCCGACGACGACCATGAGCCAGATGACAGGCAGCGCTTGATGCGAGCCGACCCCGACTTCCGGGCTCCCCCGGATAACGGCCATACCACCGCAGCGTCCTCATCGGAGTCGATGGGCGCTGCACAGGATCAGACTCATTCAGGGCTTCTCAGGCGGCCAACGATGTTACCAACTTTCACGACACCATCTTCTGGAGCGAGTCGGCAGATCGCCTCATCGAATGATGGAGTCTTTGCCAATCTTGCCGCCAAGCCAGAACGGGGTGAGAAGAACGAGGATCTTCCTCCTGTAAGTTGATGATTGGGATTTTTTTTGGATATTAAAAGGCTTCTTTACTGATATCTTATTTAGTCATACGAAGAAGCCGCCGCTGATGCGACACCGCCATACTGGGAGACCACCATTGTGGCTCCTGGTATCTCGTCCGACGAGGTCTATGTCGATGGACTGCCCGTTGGATCTGTCTTCTCATTTGTCTGGAACGCCATGATCTCAATGTCATTCCAGCTTGTTGGTTTCTTGCTGACCTATCTCCTTCACACCACCCACGCCGCAAAGAACGGCAGCCGAGCGGGTCTCGGTCTTACTCTTGTTCAATACGGCTTCTATATGAAAGGTGGCAGTGACAGCTCGGGCTCTGAGGGCGGAGGCACAGAGTATGTTCCTCCACCTGACCCCAACAGCCACAACTTCGACCCGAACACGGTTGGTGAAAGCGGGGGCAGTGGAGGGAACGGCGCCATATCTGGGATCAGCACCAGTGAATGGATTTCATATATTCTAATGATTGTTGGTTGGTTCATTCTGATCCGTGCGGTCAGTGACTTCCTGCGGGCACGACGTCATGAACAGCTTGTGTTGCAGAGTCCAGATCGTGGTCTGGGTGTACCAGTCATTGCGGAAGGTGAACGGTCCGAGACTGTTGTCTAATATCGGTATACATGGGGTTTTTTAGGACGTGGACATGGACATGGAAATGTCAGGCGTTGCAGCATGGAGTTTCTTTTGTATCGACACCCCCAGGAGTACTGCCTCCGGATCGCATTCCTTCAATTCTTTTTTTGTTCTTCCTTCTTTATCAGACCATTCTACTTTTATTTTTGACCCTGTAGCTACTCTGAAGATACCAAATATACGAACAATGAACAATATAGCGGTTGGAATATTTACGTAGGGAGGAGCTCAATAGCCTAAGTCGAGCCTTCCAAAATGCCACCAACCACTTCAGCAGCTTCTGTAACCACAACCCTCGTTTCCTTGTCCAGAATTCCCTCCGTACTTAAAGCCTGCAGCCTCTCTCCCCACAATCTCCAACGCTCCCGCGTCAGACCATCCTCTCTCGGCCATAGTTCTGTCTGATCATCCAACGCCGCCGCCCAGTGCCGCCGCAGCTCATCATAGTCCGTATCCCATAGTGCCCAACCCCCATCCCGCATCCAGATCGCTGCTATCCGGACATCCAGCGCCCACAACTGCTTCGACGACATCCTATGCGCTTTTGGTGGGCGGGGCTGGGGTCCCTCATGCTCCAGCAAGTCACGACACGCATAAAAGACCCATATAGGGTGCACCTCACCTTTACCTTTGGTCGCTTTTAGCAGCGCAGCCGAGAAGACGCAGAAGCGGAGAAAGTACTCATCCCCGCTATTACTTAACGCACTAATAGTAGAGTTATCTCCCGCACCCGAACGCACACCATCCCAGTCGCGCCAGGCCTCGAGAATATCGTGCACGTCTTGCCACTGCGCGCTGAACCGCGGCAGTGTCTGCCAGTGTAGCTTTCCGTCAGTCTCAATGTAGCTGCCTAGGCTAGATCTTGCGCGTCCCTTGAGCTGCGTTGGTGGCTGCGCGTGAAGGGCGCCGAGGAGGGCGAGATGAGAGTCGTGTGACGTTCGAGAGGTGACGACAGCCGTGAAAAAGGCGTCCCAGAGCTCCCAGAGTGCGTTGGTAGGGTCCGACGACGTAGTCACAGAGTTGACAAGTTGGGCAGCTGTCTCGTCTGGCGTTGGCGCCGAGGAAAGGTTGCTAGGTGTTAGAAGGGTTTGGATTGGCTTGGAGAAGGGATTTGGGCGGTTGGTGCAGGGGACATTCAAAACAGTTGTCATTTTGGATGTGTAAGTTGGTTGGAATGGTTGGAATGGTTGGAATGGTGAAAATGCTGATCATTGGTGCACTTCTCTCAGTCAGGGCGTCTCTGTTTGGCGACCATTTCTGGCCCCAACAGCGGTAATATCTGGCGTCAATTGCATCGATCCCAAATTCTACCTTGTATAGGTGTACTCCATCCCAAACGAGGCCCGAGGTGCCTACGCGTACTGCGCCACGATAGGCAGCATTCTATATCCTTGTTCCATGCCCTTGCTTCCCTTTGGCTTTCGCCTGTACAACTTCAACTCTGAAGAACAGAAGAAAGATTAGAAAAACAGGAATAGATTTCGCCCCTCTCTTTTCCCCTCGGCGGAATGACCAACTCCGCCTACTGCCGAGAGACCCATTGTTTATTTACCCTCAACTCAACATAACTTCCATCTTCGATATTGTGCGTTTCTTGTCGGGGTGGACCGCGGCCTTGTCCGCAATGTCTACCGTCCCTCAGGGCCCCATCGAGGCACGATCACTGTCGTCGGTCACCGCTATCGCATCGAATCCCCCCGCCTACCCACGAAATCCCACCCACGAGAAGCAGGAACCACTGTCTTTGTACATTGTGCGTGTACCAGGAAGCAAAGGTATGATTCAATTCCATTGTCTTGACACTCTAATCTCTCTATTTTGATCTCGAATGTCCCATGGTTGCGCCTTATCGTGCTTTAACATGATAAACCATAACTAACAGGTTGTACGTACAGACATTTTCCTCTCACCCCTCAAACCACCCACCAAATCCAGTGTCTCTGCCGAGGCGATCAACGCCTCTCTTTACTATCTCCATGTCGCGACTCCCGACGATGATACCCTACTCCAGGAAGTGGAGGAAGAGCGTGAAGTGGAAGCCCAATTGCGGAAGGAGCGTCTCGAGCAAGCGGGCGCCGGTGACCCAGCACAGCGCGAATTCGCGCGGCTGAACAATGTGCGCCGGAAACCAGTTGGTGGAGGGGGGGACGTCAACCCCGAGCCTTTGCTGGCACCGCCTCAACAGGATGCCACTGCTCCTCCGGCCTTACCACCACGTCAAGTCCCTATGCCGCAGGTTACTGCAGAGAACATATCTTTCTCTGGGACTCCGGTCACTAATATACAGCCTCCTTTGAGCAATAATATGCCTGGACAGATCTCGGGAGAACCGGGTGGTAGGAGCGCTGTTCCGCGGCGACCTTTGCCTCCCTTGCCGCCTGGAGAAGAATCATGGAGCACTACAGCAGGCGAGGACCCGTCTAAGAGGACATCACGATGGACCGCGTTTGCCGAACATCTACAAAATCGGGGAGAGAACTGGAGGGAAAAGTATGAGGCAAAATACGAGGCGCTGTCGGCTGGCCGTCACAGCCTTGACTCTCCTAGACCGCAATTCCGGCCTCGTTCCTCGCATGACCGTACCGGCTCACCATTAGGAAGCCCTGGACAATCTCCCAACCGGCATAGAAACGCACATGGCAAACCTCCTAGCAATGCTGGCTTTCATATCACGCTCATCCGACGTGATCCCACGTCCGGTACACAATGGAATGTGGCCACTATATCCACCCCGCGAATGGACCGCAATGCCGTCGATATCGAGATCTCCACACCGGGATATAACAGGTTCGCAGGCTCCAATGAGATGCCTTCATTATCCAGCCTGGCAGCTAATCTCCCGTTGGGAATCGGACGTCTACCCAATTCTGCCATTCCCCAATCCTTACCCACCGAGCAACCAAAGGAGCAGCCAAGTGGCCCACGCAAATTCCACCGCCAGCTCTGCGTATCAAAGCCATATGACGACTCCGTTACCACAGATTGCAGCAACGGCCACACCCCAGACGGCCCGTCGTCATCCTCCAAGCTGAAAAGCGGCTACTACGTCTTCACTTCTCCTTGGAATGGTACATGTACCTTCACAAACAGCGTGAACGGCCGAAACCTCAAATGCAAACACATGATCCCAACACCCGGCGGCTTCGTCCCTCCCAACGGCGAAGCAGAAGCACCCCCCGCCGTAACCGTCGCCGAGCTCCGCTTCAACACCCCCTTCCAAGCAGCGAACCTCCACTCCCACGCTCACCACGCAGCCCACAAACCCCATCCAAACCACCTCTCCCCCTTCACCCAAAGCCAAATCCAGTCTCTCTCCCGCCCAAGCGACAACTCAAACGAAAATAACCCCGGCCCCGACGGAGAACCCCTACGCCCATCCTCCTCCAGCAATAGCTACGCATCCGCAAAGCGCAACTCCCTCTCCAACCTCCTAAACCCAAACACCTACGCCCGGCCACGCGCGCACACAGGCCCAGGCGCACCTCCACCTCTCCCCACCTCACCCCCTGCAGACCCGCGCCAAAACTTCCACCCCTCAACCCTCCTCCGCAGAACGTCTCTGCGCGCGCAACGCTTCACCCGCCAGAGTCAATTACACCCCGCTGCCCAGTCTCACTCACACCGCAGTACGAGTAACAGTAGTGGCGGAGATGTGGATCATGATTCCGATGAGGATCGCTTGGATTTTTCGCTTGCGAGGGAGCCTGCTGGTGGTGGGTTAAGAGGGAAGAGTGCGAAACTGGGGAAGTTGGTTATTGAAGATGAAGGCATTAAAATGCTTGATTTGGTTGTTGCGGCCTGTATGGCTGTTTGGTGGAGGGGATACTATTATTGAGATATACTGGTTTTGGTGCTTAAAATCCCTGGCTTGCTTTATGAAGCTTGTCTGCTGGCTAGAGTCAGTTAGGTTTGCGATAATTATCGTATATGAATGCATGAATTTCATTTTGTCTAATCTGTTCCTTTATCTTCCTTAGTGCTATCTCCAAGACTTGTAATGTATTGCTCGTGATCGCTCGTACAGTTGAATCACCTGCCCATGGCATGTACCTATATGTCGCATCTATCTCTCCAAGCTATAGTATGGTCTGCTCTATGTAGCTTGGCCTTAGAATGTGCTGGTATGGCAAGGCTGATCTTCTCTATAGTTTTGCTCCTACTAGTCGATTAAGATCTTCAGAGTATGAGTGTATTTAGCAGCGTATGATGTCGTGCAAGTCATCCAGGAGGGAATTAGTATGTTGTAGTGACGTCCAAGTCAATAAAAGTAAACACGCCGACAACGTCATTCGAAACCCGGCCGTCGGTTTCGACCCACCCGATTTCCCAAAAGCGTAGGACCAATTATATGTCGTTATAGGACCCACCTTGGTATACCCTCAATAAAGGACATGGAAAGGAAAAAAAAAATAGGTAGCTTCTCTTTGATTGAGCGTGTCATCATTAGTGCAGGGGCCATGCTAATCTTCTCTGTATATTTTCAGTTGACCATATGCCCCGAAGGGCGAAAAATCTATTCGTTCAGTTCAATATAACCTCACTTTGGTCAGAAAATGACCGCCTACCCTTTTGGTGGAAGTCAGGTACGATGGCAGACACGTGGCTTGGCACGTGGTCAACTACCGAATTTAGGTATGGCCTTGTTTACACCAATAAGGGAAGTAACAGTATAAGGCATTTGGATTCCGATAACACGAAGCTTGAAGGTTTAGGGTTGGAATAGAGATCTGATCTTGATAAGAAATCGGGTTATTCGCTAGCTCATGATACGGCCGAATCCTCATAGAAAACGAGAGTAGTCCAGACATTATTTATTACAGGAAGCTAATGTATTTGAGCTACGTTGTGTTGAATGGATCACCCCTGGCAGACACCTCCGAGGGAGACTTAATTGACAATCTATCTATGATGAACCTACTTGAAAGAGACGCAATGCAGAGAGTAATACCATAGCCAGACATAAACATCATACCCAACCAGGAACCATGGCCAGTATAGCTTTGGGAGGAGTCAAAAGATTTAGACACGAGCACGAAGGTCACATAAAAGGAGAATGGGAAACGCAGACACAAATCCAAGCCTATGAAATCGGACCAGAGCGCAGACCGCAGAATCACAAAGAGAGATGAGAAAGTCGTGTTCGAGATTCCAGTTAAAAATGGAAATTGAAAAGTGAAAGAAACCCCGTATAAATCGTCCCAGTCTTTTTTTGTTTCTCTGAAGGTATCTCTTGGCTAAATTAAATCAACATGCAGGGCGCGATGGAAGACACGGATTCAACACGCCGAACAGCCAAGACAAGAAAAAAGCAGAAAGAAAAGAGGTATCAACGGTGATGCACGTCCATGCCGCGCTGCAGCGAGGATTCCAAGTCATTAGGGTTGTAACCACCGCCAGCGGTAGCCTCCTGAGGTCGAGGATCCTCAGTCTTCCAAGGACCCTGTTGGTTATCCGGGATGGGGATGTTAGTCTGCTGAGCGATCTGCTGCTGCTGGGCGGAGTGGGCCTGCGCTTGCTGGCGGACGGTCGCCCGGAAGCGGATGACCTCATCGAGGATCATCTTGCGCATGTCGGGGACTTCTTCGACGACCTCGAAGTGGAAGTCGAAAGTCGTGGGGCAGTTTGGCTCGTCCGAGGCGTCGTGCCAGATGTGCAGGTATGGGTGCTCGAGGGCCTCCTCGACGGAGATACGAGACGACGGATCAAACGCCAGCATGCGGTCTAGCAGGTCCAACGCATCGGGATTGGCTTGCGGGAATAGCTGCTTGAAGGCTACCTTGGGCATATAGGGCAGGTTGCGCACATATTCCTGGGCGCGGGGCGATCCAATGCGCGCCAAAGTCTCTTCGTTGGGTGTACCCAGGTAGTGCAGGATCTGATTCAGCTGGTCAACATAATCACGGCCCTTGAAGAAGGGTCGGCCGCCAAGGAGCTCGGCGAGAATGCAGCCCACGGACCAAACATCAACTGCACATGTGGGGTTAGTGGGTATTCGGTGGCAAAAATTACACACGGTGTTACGTACTCGCTTTGGTGTAGCTCTGGAAGCTCAGCATGATCTCCGGTGCACGGTACCATCTCGTCGCGACGTACTCGGTCATGTATCCTGCGTTCTCCTCCGGATCGATTGAGAAACCACGGGCCAAGCCGAAATCGCAGATCTTGAGCTCGCAGTCGGCATTGACCAGCAGATTACCGGGTTTGAGATCACGGTGCAGGACGTTGGCGGAGTGGATGTACTTGAGACCACAGAGGATCTGGTAGATGAAGGATTGGAAGTGGGCGTCGGTCAAAGGCTGGCCGGAGCGGATGATAGCGGCCAGATCACATTCCATCAATTCTGCCGGATTGTTAGTCCAGCTTCGTTCGAGGCAAAACAGCCAACCACCTACCCTCATAGAGATATGTTTCGTTAAAGTTGTCCGGTCGGGGAATATCCATATCGTACAGGCATGTAATCTGCAAGGCTCGAGTTAGCCGGGACAAGTATTGATAAGAATATGCTGCCTACATTGCGATGGCCACGGAAATGCTGCAGCAGCTTGATCTCTCGCAAAGCCCGCTTAGCCAGGATCTTCTTGCTGAAGACATTGGTGACCTTCTTGACAGCGACACCCTCGCCGGTCTGGATGTTTGTTGCGGCGCTTGGGTACTATCAGCATATGTGTCCATCCACGCGGGGGTTTATAATGGTACCTACCACACGATACCGTAGGCTCCCTGACCAAGCTCCTTTGTCACGTTGTATTGCTCGCCCACGATAAAGTCCTGGTTGAAAACCTTGAAGACCTTGCGGCCTTGTAAATCAGCCATGGTGTTGGAATTGAAAAGGCGAAAGTTAAGGAGAAACGAGAGTCCAGGTTCAGGAGAAAAAGAGAGAACAGAAGAGAAAGGGGAAAGTCGAGATGTGATGGGATTCAAAAGAGCCCCGCAGTCCCCGCGGGTGATCCGCCACGCTTGTCAAAATTAGAAATGAAAGAAAATCTTCAGTATAGGGAAGTTTTTATGTGAGAGAAATGTAGAAACATTTAAAGATGTATAGTATGGACTCGAATCAAAGAAACTCGAATCAAAGAAATTCGAGACAGAGAAAAAAAAAAATTCCATGTGTTTCAGCTGATACAGCGCTTATGGGGCTATATTTCCGATCACATTCTACTGTAAGAAAAGTCGATTTGGCTTAATACATTTTGCCATAATACATTTCGTTTCTTTCATTTCCTTTTACATGTTACAGTTCAACTTGGGCGACTCAGGACCTTACCCTTCGAAAGACTAGATCTCGGAACTAGATTGTGACTACGGATTTTCAAACTCTTAGTCTAAGGAATAAATTATTCGAAATAAACTGTATTAGATGTATTTAGGCGTATACGAGAGCCTTGGCTTTTAATTTAACGAAAGATAATCTTCTAATATTGGCCTCTTCCACAAACATCGCCCGGGAGAACGTCGGACCCTCAGCCAGGAACACGGTCTTGTTGGAAATACCCATTTCTTTGAGCTTTTCAACCACCCCCTTTACATCAAGGGTCCCATCTTGCGTAGGAAAGGCTCAGGTCCTCTTTTCATGCGTCTTTTGCCGCCAAGTGACTGCCCAGCCACGTAGCTGTCGACATGGTCAGTTCGACATGGTCAGTTCGACATCCTCAGATTCACTCTCCCGACCTCCGTCTATGGCTTGTTCAAGCTTCGCTAGTGGCTCATCGTTAGGTTTTGATAACCCCCTGGGGGAGTGAAGAGACCTGTCATTCCCATTAAATGAAGCTTATTTGTTCTTTCATTGTTACATACCTCTAGAGATTGATATTCCCAGTCTCGGAAGTGTCCTCGTTGAACATGCCGGTTATAAAGGGCCGAGGCGGCATCATCTAACTGCTTCCTACTCTGTATGTGGGCAAGCCATCGCTCGTGCCGGCATACCCACCTGGGCTAGTGGTAGCGCTCGCCTGCGTGCTTTCTCGCGTCGAAGACTTGAGAAGAACAATCTGTCTCAATTATTTTCCTCGGCGTGCTCACAGGGCCAGCAAGCACTCATATGGATGGCCAAGTAGTTATTTTGTATCGTCCAGATTTCCACCCAGCTTGCGCTGCAATCTGGGTCTGAGCATGCCTACTTGCCATCCACAAAGGATAGCTTTGGGGGCTTGTCCCATCCAGGTATTATTTTCCCATCCACGTCTTCGAGGGGGAATATCTCGTGAGGTACTGGGCCATGCCAGAATGGATATCTGATCAGCCTCAACTTTGTCATGTTTCACCACCATGCGTTTTCGCGCAGCTGTGAGAAGAGAACATTCTGGAGAATTTTTCCTCCCGCGCGTGTGCGCAAGGACAGTCTTTCTGAATCGGCTTCCGGGTCGACTTACCATCGTGAACAGTCTTAACGTGACGGTTGGCATTGTGTTTGTCGGTAAACTCCTACGTGCACCCCTCCTCTTCTGCCAAGAGACAGGCCCATTTGATTCCAGTGTGGAACTGCTTAGCATCCCGATCAGCGTTGTGTTGCGAGGCAAATGTCCTGCCACAATCTTCCTCGTTTTTGAGTGGGCAAAGAACCCATTCCGCGCTTCTCACACGGCTACCAGAATCCTTATTACCATGAAGTCTCAGTGCGTGCTTTGCGGCGTCCTGTATGGTAGAAAACTTCTTGATTCATGTCTTTTAAGAACTAAGAACTAAGAACTAATATGTATGCTACATCTCTATAGAGGAGGCAGAAGGAGAAGATAATTTATACACTGCTATGAAGCTCCTTGTATGCTTCATGGGGACAAAGAGGGATCTAACACATTGCGAGCAAGAAAATAAGACCTTACTGCATTTATGTCCGAG